CTTCACGTCAAAAAAATACCCTACAGCTCTCAATTGCAATTTTTTACCATTTTGTCCCATCGCTATCTCATTTGCAAAGGGGAGTATCCCTTCAAAAGAGTCCCTTACATCGGTTAGATTGCTTAATACATATCGTCAGATTTGCCAATAACAGAATGTCCCTTTTGCACTTTCAAAGTTCATTTTAACTTTTGCAGGGAAATAACTAAGTAATTTGTGTGATATATTATCATAAAGTTTTTTTTTATTTATTATATTGTGGGTTATGGTAAGGTTTCTAATTAATGCAGTATGAGTGATTGAAAAAAAAGTATCTTCATGTTGCAAAACAGCACAAATACTGGATGACGATACAGAATGAGCAAACCCCAAAACAACTGTGACTAAAGCCGTGACTAAAGTACCGGAAATGTCCGAAGTGGGTCGCCACCGTAGCTAATGTAGATGACATCTTAAAATGACGCGTTTTGCGTAGAAAAAAATACCATTTTCCCCGATGAGTGTAAAACTGCCATCGACCTTGAGCTTTCGATTCAAATTTTCCGTTATTCCGAATGTCGAACGAAGCATATGCCCCGACGTTAAGTTTTATATCATTACCAACACCGGTGTATCTTATTACGCCTAGAGAGTCCTCCATTTTATTATACCGTTTAGTAATAATTAATCGTTACTAAAAAGCTGGCCAACTATTGCCAACGTTCAGCACCTGCTGGAATGACTTCTACACGACGCGATAACCAACAAAAGACCTTTAACTTGATACCGTACGGTTCTAACAATAAAAGTGTTATGTGAGACCTGCTCGAAACATATTAGGCGCGTTATGCTGTTGTACGTCTCGTGTTTGACGTATAAAAAGGTACGTGGACACGGCAACGGGCGGTATATTTTGAGAGGCCGTCCGAAATCAACGGAACTTTGTTCCAAGGGCCGTTTACTTCGTTATATCTGATGAAACTCCGCCTCCTCGATGTTGACTAGAAAATCTCTTGTTCGCTCAAAATGTTTTCCAAATTTTAAGCACAGTTAGTGTTGAATACCAATTGATTTTTGCGATTTTGCAACTGGATTCGAACCAAATTGGCGCCACCGGAGTCAATATATTTTACTTAAGCTGTGTCCAATCGCAATAAAGGCTGAAGGATTCCTAAGATTTTTGTTAAAAAGTATTTTAAAAACAAAGCATTTTTATATTTATTTATTTATTTCAACGGCTGAGCTAATTTACAAAGGAAAAGTAACAATATAAATGACAAAACAATAATTTAGATAACAACTTAGATAACAAGCTTTTTAAATAACCATATAAAACATATAAAAACACAAAAATAGTAAGAAACAGTAAACAAACAGTATCACCTAGTTGAAGACCGCCAGCAAAGGGATCAAGAGCGACAAGGTTAAGTAACCTCAAGGTTCGAGTTCAAGGAGAAAAATAGCCATAGTTGGCGTGATGAAATGGAATACAAAACATTGGGGAGCTCTGATTTCTTTCATATATGTTAAAATCAATGGACTGGAGGACAGCCGGACACTTATATCCACCGTTCACAATTTTATAAAACGTCAAGATATCGGAGTAGGTTCTTTTAATTTCCAGACCATCTATCCCAAAAGGCTGACATACCAGAACATAATTAATGTGAAAGTTATTGTAGATATTTATACCCGCTCTATATGCTAGGGTCCTCAGAAATGCCCTCTGAACAGTCTCCAATCTATCAATGTGACATCTGTAATGTGGAGACCACACTACTGAGGCATACTCCAGTGTAGATCTCACTAAGGAGCAACAAAGGGTTTTAAAACAGTCGGATGAGAGCAGTGTACTATTACGGGTAATAAAACTCAGACCTCTCATGCCCTTGTTAGCAATGTCCTCCAGCTGATCCAAAAAGGTCAGTTTACTGTCACGGATGACTCCAAGGTGTGGTGACACACTCTATCGTTGTATTGTTAATAATATATCTATTTTGAAAAGTGTTAGTTAAGCGAGAAAAAGTAATACTAAAACACTTTTACATCCAGACCATTTTCTCTGCACCACGAACTGACATTATTAAGGTCGCTCTGAGCATCCATAAATGTGTTTTGTAAAATTTAAAATCATCTGCAAAGGCAAGATGTTCAGAATAAAGAACCACATCACTCAGATCTCTTATAAACAAATAAAAGAAAACTGGACCTATGCGTGAACCCTGAGGCACACCCGAACGCACCACAATTTCGCTGCAATATAATTGTTGATTCGGATCTGCTGTGTACGCTCTGTTAAAAACAGTGACAAAATTCAACCAGAGTACCACCCAGTCTCATAGCCCGAAACTTACGAAGATGCTCATGACTGACTCTGTCAAACGCCTTCGAAAAGTCCGTGTAGACACCGTCCACTTGTTTTGTTATATTCATGTATAGTGTGTCTTAAAGTATACCGCATTCCCTATCATCTCTCAAAAAATAATTACGATCTTCATGCCTATTATTACTAAAGAAACCCAACAACCATTGATTTATGCACAGGTAAGGGACAATGACAGCTAGACCATGCAATACAGCACATTTTAAAAATTGAGGATTCTTACATTTGCATATAAAATAATATTGTTATAAAAGTTAATAATGATGATTCCGTATTTATTTATGTATTTATATATTTACTTTCATAATATTTGTACCAAGTTCATTCTGTTATAACTGAAAACACATCGTTATTTTTACACTTTAAACTTCCTTTCCAGGCGTTTTGTCCAACGGACGTGTTTGTAATCAAAAACCAAGACCAAACCAAGACTTTGAAATGAAGTATACTTTAGTCACGATTTGGGAGCGATCGGTAAATTTTGAAATAGTTCTGATGGTCAAGTCATACGTCACTCAACGAATGCATTAGTTCTGTACTCTGTATACAACTAGTTCACAACTAGTAAACAATTAGTACATACATACAATCAATGGTGGGGCCGGTTATGCCTAAAGAAACTCATAATCAAAGTGTCTATTTTTAAATATTTTTAGATACTAATTCTTTTAAGTGAAAATTAAGAACGTTCAATTGGCATTATGTTATCAAAAGAAAGGACGGACGTAATACTTAATAAAAAAGGAGAAGCAAGACTTTATATTAAGCCAAGATTTTTTGTAATTGCCTTGCGCTTTCGCCATTTTAGATGTACGAGTAGATTTAGCAAAAAAAGATATGTGTTTCAAAATAATTTCAAAACTTACATTGTTAAAGGAGGTTCAGGTTATTTTGCCCATTAAAAAGTTACATTAGATATACAATATCAAAGTCTGTCACAACTCCATCATAATTTTCTCTTGCTCCTTTTTTGGAATTTTAGAAAATAAGGCAAATTAATGAAAATATTCTGAGTAACGGTATGGCAGGATTGTTAAACCGACTAGCATATTATAACGAAGTTAATGGTCGGTATTTTCAACACCTACTAAAATAATCTTTTTTATACCTTGTTTCTATAAATTTTACTCACTGCGTATCTGGATATTTTGTTTCAAACAAATTTCAAACTGCTTTTTGAGTTGTAGTTCTTTATTCAACAAAAAATAAAATTTTATGACGGAAGTAATAATAATAATTATAAAGTTCCTCATTTGAATTATAGGTAAAATATAACAAGTTAACATTTCGACTAAAAGGCGAGATTCAGTCTATTAAAGATTAGTATTTCTATATCTATCTGAACTAAAGTTTTTATTAAATTGTTCGAGGTTTTTTATTTTATTTGGTGGATTATTCAAATATTAAATTACATTCTATCAGAAGGGGCATTTAAAAATTTCAGTTGCATGCGGATTGAAGGTCTCCTTAAATTGTATATTAAGATTTTGCATATCACAGCGATTGAAGTATTGATTTTCTCCGCAGTATTTTTGCATACAGAACTTCAGAATGGAGAAATATTCTATTTTTCATATTTGACTAATTCTGTCGAACCTTCGAATTACAAGGATCAACCTCAAAATAGCTTTAACAATTTAAGAATTTTTCTTAATTGTTCATTTTAAAATTAATTTTTTGTTTTTATTCTTTTGCTCGTCAAAAGTAACAGAGGTATGAGTGAAATTTGATATAGAATTCGAAAATGAATTTAAAATAATGGTGTTCCCTTTAAAAAAACAACTAGGTATCAACGCATACTTTTTGACCCGCCATGTACACTTTATGTTTGCTGTAAAAAAAAATTAAATGAATTTCACATCGCATCAAACAATTCAGATTAATAAACCTAAGGAAATATAGCCAAATAGATGAAAATCGTTTCCTACCTTTTCTCAGATTTGCAATTTTAATTAAAATTCACGCACAACCCTTTGTTCGAGCGTCACGAAGACTTTATTACTAAATTACCATAATTATAAACCTAATTATGACGGTTAATTTTCATTGTCTTCGCTGAGGATCTGAACCAAATATTTAGTCATTATACGTTTTAACCGTTAATTTCATCTATTTTAAAAATGTAGGTCGCTCCGGCTATAATTTACAAGCGAATACTCCCACAACTTCCAAAATGGCCACCACGCTGCTCCAGTGTGAAATAATTTCCTAATAATACTCTTATTTTTGTGTCCATAAAACATTGTATTGCTGGCAAATGATTTAATACATTTTGATGCATTTAAAATTAGTGGTAAAAAGTATTATGTTGGTAGGACTGACTAGAGAGTGATACGACCGTCTTTGTTCTTTGCTTATGAAGTTTCGATGATGTTGCGGTTATATCTGTGGCTGGGGTTCCACTATTATGATCTGAGGAGAAAAGATTGAGAATTGGTTATGTCTTGTTATGTATTATGTACACCTTACACCCGGTGTAAGTTTTAGTCAAAAAATAAAATTGCCTTTACAAGTTAAACTTGTTTGCTCGCCTTATTCGGTCGATTTTGTTACTAAATAGATGGTCTTGCCGTAATAAATTAAATATGATACTAATCAAATCTATCATAATGTATATCACCACTACTTTCTGTTGCAGATGACAGATAGCGCTGCGTCGCACCTACGAAGATGGTTCGAAGCCGCACCCCTTCGCAAGGGGGCGGATCCCAAGGATTCGAAATGGAACGAAAGTACTCGGTACCTTCAAATCCCGATTCGAGGGCGTTTTCTGGCACCACATCGGAAGATTTGCACGCCTGGTCCATCTATAGGTCAGTCAGTGAAATACACCGCGTGAAAAAAATATTATAAAGTATATCGCCCAAGAGAACATGACAATTATTTTTGGAGTTTTTAAAATGGCTACCAGGGGCGTAATTATTGTTTTGAATTTGGGAACTCGGTTTATACAAAAATTTCTAATATTAAAGCTGAGACAAGTTTCAATGTTCTTGTTTACTGTATTTCCGCAAAAAAAGTGGTAGGAGTGTAAATAAATTGGTAATTCCGTTCAAACTGTTACTTTTTTTATTAAAATTTATAAAATTTTGAAACTAGATTTTTCAATGTTTTTTATGCAATATATGAATAATAATTCATATATTTTACTCTAAAATTAATAGTCTGCAAGGATTTTACTGCAACTTCTAAGTAAGAAAACGCCATCGGGTGGCAACGTAAACAATCTCAATCGCGTCACTCATACTTTAATAAAATGCGTTAACCTTTCTTGGAGATACGGACATTTATTTAAGAAAACCTTCCGACACTACTTATAAAAGTTATAAAAAATTTAAATAATTTTTCTCTGCTCCCCGAATTCCCTACTTAGTTGTCCCTACTGGGACCACCGGTACAGTCCATCTAATTTATAAGTTACGATGAAAACGAAGGAAATTATTTCTCAGCAGTTTTTACGTAATCTTTCAACGAAAACCGACTCCCCTAATTTGCATAGTAATTATTAATTAGTAATATCGATTGCGTCGACTTAAATTAACCCGGAGGAAGTCAGATTGCGACACTTCTGCGCGTTCCCACGGCATACCTTTTCGATCTCAAGCCTTATTATTTTCCCAACAGGCAAAATTTGAACTCTGACTTCACCGATAGCGCCTTGGGATCCACCGACAAGAGTCCTTTACCCTACGGCAACTTTCAGCTGAGGGATACCACAGTGCAATCGATCTTGTCTCATCCCAGATACGGTCCCAAGTAAGTGTAACTGTAAATTTTAATCGATGACATTCAGTACAAAGCCAATAAATCTTAAAAGATTCGAAAAACAGTTGCGAAGTGTGGAGCAAGGCTGCCCACTTAAGCTTTTTATTATTTTTTGTGGCTTTTAACCATCAAGTCGATTTATTTCTGACTAATTTTAAGTAAATTTACCCAAATTTTGGCGAAGCTTCTGGCCGTCGTGCCAAACTCTCCCCTATTTATAATGTTATATACCTATAATAATTTTAATTATTTATTAAAAAAGTATTTAATTTAAAAAAAAAGTTACTGATTAATCGATTAAAAATGTGTTGTTGGTATTTATATGATTTTCTGAAGATCTGGAATTACCCAAAAAATAACACTTTCAATATATTAATTATGATTCGGTTATACGTCATAATATCCTCTGTGAGACTTCTTCTTTTTTGCAATTCCTGTGGTCTGCCTCTTCTCCTTTTTTGTGGTGGCATCCATTCATAATTTTTTTTGGGTATTCTGTCTTCACTCGTGCGACTCATATGTCCAATCCACATTAGTTGTTTTTCTTCAATAGTATCTAATAGTCTCTTTTCTACATTCATTCTGTTCAAAATTTCGTCATTTTTAATTTTGTCACCAGCTCCAATACGTCTGTTGGAGCTACCTTTTATTTCATAGCCTTTCACATTTTCCAGACCTCTAACGAATACCTAATTGTATTTTGCACAAAGGAAAAAAATCCCTTTATTTCCCTTTAATAATTTTGTTTTGTACGACCGATGTTATAGTCACTCCTAAGTACTTATACTGGTTTGAATGTTTAATAGTTCCCACATCAGTGTGTAAATCTTGTCCGTTTATTCCAATAGCCATGTACTGTGGTTTCTCCATATTGATTTCGAAACCCCATTTCTTGTATTCTTCTACAGGTTTCCTAAACATATTGTTTATATCGTCCTCATCTTCTGCTAATATTACTTGATCATCTGCAAATAACAGCCTGTAGATAGACTCACTGTTCACCATTACACCCAATTTATTGCATTTTCGTTTCCACCCCCTTTAAGGTCTTATCTATGTCTCAGGCCTTTATTCACCAAAAATTCTTGAGAAGTTTCTTTTCCAATTTTTACTAAGCTTTTCGTATTATAATAGAACTGTTTCACCGTGTTTATATACATCACTGGTACTTCTTTTCCTTTCAAAGCATCCCACAACTTATTTATCGGCCCTATATAATATGCCTTCTTGAGGTCTATAAATATAAGGCTGAGCAAGCTATAGTTTTTTGGGCTAGTTGTTTTAGGCAGAAAATGTTATACGATTTTTCAATAAACGTCCATACAGTCTGCCAATAGAAGATGTTACACTTATCCCCCTGTAGTTTTCGCATAAATTTTTCTTTCTTTTCTTATGAATGGAGCTAATATCCCCTTTCAGTTATGTAGTAAATATAGATTTGAGCTTACCTATGACAGCTGAGGGAGACGCCTTTAATAGTCCTAACAGTATACCTCCAGGACCTGATCGTAAATCTCAATGTATGTTCTACTTCTGTCCTTATAAACTCTGGTTCCTGTATGTGTATATGTGAAGAATCGGACTTCAGAATACTATTTGCACAACTTATGACCTTCAGAGCTTTCAATTAAACTCTCGCATTTTACTCTATACCTGCTTATATAAATTGTTTGAGGGGGGAGGAGGTACAGGAGGGAGACGCCTTTAATAGTTCTAACAGTATACCTCCGGGACCTGATCATAAATCTCAATGTATGTTCTACTTCTGTCCTTATAAACTCTGGTTCCTGTATGTGTATATGTGAAGAATCGGACTTCAGAATACTATTTGCACAACTTGTGTCCTTCAGAGCTTTCAATTAAACTCTCGCATTTTACTCTATACCTGCTTATGTAAATTGTTTGAGGAGGGAGGAGGTACAGGAGGGAGACCCCTTTAATAGTTCTAACAGTATACCTTCAGGACCTGATCATAAATCTCAATGCATGTTCTACTTCTGTTCTTATAAACTCTGGTTTCTGTATGTGTATATGTGAAGAATCGGACTTCAGAATACTATTTGCACAACTTGTGTCCTTCAGAGCTTTCAATTAAACTCTCGCATTTTACTCTATACCTGCTTATGTAAATTGTTTGAGGAGGGAGGAGGTACAGGAGGGAGACGCCTTTAATAGTTCTAACAGTATACCTCCAGGACCTGATCATAAATCTCAATGTATGTTCTACTTCTGTCCTTATAAACTCTGGTTCCTGTATGTGTATATGTGAAGAATCGGACTTCAGAATACTATTTGCACAACTTGTGTCCTTCAGAGCTTTCAATTAAACTCTCGCATTTTACTCTATACCTGCTTATATAAATTGTTTGAGGGGGGAGGAGGTACAGGAGGGAGACGCCTTTAATAGTTCTAACAGTATACCTCCGGGACCTGATCATAAATCTCAATGTATGTTCTACTTCTGTCCTTATAAACTCTGGTTCCTGTATGTGTATATGTGAAGAATCGGACTTCAGAATACTATTTGCACAACTTGTGTCCTTCAGAGCTTTCAATTAAACTCTCGCATTTTACTCTATACCTGCTTATGTAAATTGTTTGAGGAGGGAGGAGGTACAGGAGGGAGACCCCTTTAATAGTTCTAACAGTATACCTTCAGGACCTGATCATAAATCTCAATGCATGTTCTACTTCTGTTCTTATAAACTCTGGTTCCTGTATGTGTATATGTGAAGAATCGGATTTCAGAATACTATTTGCACAACTTGTGTCCTTCAGAGCTTTCAATTAAACTCTCGCATTTTACTCTATACCTGCTTATGTAAATTGTTTGAGGGGGGAGGAGGTACAGGAGGGAGACGCCTTTAATAGTTCTAACAGTATACCTCCAGGACCTGATCATAAATCTCAATGTATGTTCTACTTCTGTCCTTATAAACTCGGGTTCCTGTATGTGTATATGTGAAGAATCGGACTTCAGAATACTATTTGCACAACTTGTGTCCTTCAGAACTTTCAATTAAACTCTCGCATTTTACTCTATACCTGCTTATATAAATTGTTTGAGGGGGGAGGAGGTACAGGAAGGGTATGAACATTGTCTAGGGTGACTGATGCCCATATTGATGACACCTCCGGTATCTAGGATGTATTCTTTGCCGCATATGTAAACTTCTGGTATCTCAAAGAGGATTTTGACATTGGCCGGAGATATTGACAGATTTTTGGAAAAATGGTAAATCTGTGTTGTAAGGAAAGACAACCGTCGTAAGTGTGGGATTGTTTTCGGCTCACTATCTTTGGAAAGTTATACCGAAGTGTATTGAAGAGAGTCGATAACCAATAATTTTTGCGCCTGATGTGTATCGAGTTGTGTGCGTAGGTTTTTCGTAAACATATTAATGAAATGGAAAAAAAATAATAATATTAATTCTATGTACCGTTCTATTTCATTTTGAAGCGATTCTGTCGACAACAAATTTTGTACAAAGAGGTCTATTCAAATTTCCATCCCTTTTCTGTATATCTTTATAAAATTGCTCCTTATTTATTTTTTCGCATTTTCTTGAATAAGATTTGCTTGAATTAGTCTTCAAAAAGACTAGCCTTCATGTTTTATGACAGTCTCCGGTCCGTTTACCCAAATCCATTCGTTTCTGGAATGTTTCGATAAAGAAAAAGCATTGGTAAAATCGCAAGACTGCTTATAATGCTTTACTTAATAGAAGACTTTGACCTTTGACTTTTGTGGAAATAAATTCCATTTGAAAAAGAAGGAAGTGTAGAGATTTGGGTTCATCTGAGGGAACGGCTTACTAATGAAGAAACCTAAATAGAAAAGAGTAGAAATCTGTTTTCTTAACCGGGCATGTTAGCGCATGTGTTAGTGTTTGGAAAGTTTTGTCCAACGACACGATTTATCACATTGGTCAACTACGTTCCAGGATCAATCAATACAAAGTTGGAAATTCAAAACTACATGGCAGTAAATGATTTTTTTTTTAAGAGAAAGGAAGGAAGATACAGTGTTATGACTCTCGCTATATTATTGTGACACAGATTACACGTTGTACCAAATAAAATGAAGTAATAGGTCGCAAAATTCTTTTCCCATTTTAGTTGTTAGTTAGTGTTGTTTGTTTTTGTTGTAGTAACTTCACCGTCTGATTGATTTATTATTTCTTCAGGTCCGCCTTGGGTTCTAACATGTACACCTACCTAAAGTTCGGCTTGCCCAGGGTGTTTCCTCCGAACCACAACGGTTCCACCAGATCTGGTCGGGGGACTCCTCAGCACTTCGCGAGGAACTCGTCGAGCAGACCTCAAACGCGGTGAGCGAAAGGTTTATATATACTGGTTTAATTTGTCTCGCTCAGCGGTCGTTACCTTTTTAATAAGACTAGTGTTATTAATCGATATCTTTGCTTAACTCGAAAGTGACTTAAATAATGAATTAAATTTGGAAATGGTTTTCGAATAAATTAATTGAAAGTCCAGTACTAGCCAAATATATATATATATATATATATATATATATATATATATATATATATATATATATATATATATATATATATATATTTGGCTAGTACTGGACTTTCAATTAATTTATTCGAAAACCATTTCCAAATTTAATTCATTATTTAAGTGACACTATATTCCGGGATATCATCCGTTCGCTCGTTGAACTCCGACTGGAATCCTGCATCCGACTGGAATCCTGCAAATCTTGCATCCGACTGGAATCCTGCAGACGTTTCGCCAAAATCTCACTTGGCATCTTCAATGCTCGCGCTCCGAAAACACTTCGAACACTCTATATATATATATATATATATATATATATATATATATATATATATATATATATATATATATATATATATATATATATATATATATATATATATATATATATATATATATATATATATATATATATATATATATATATATATATATATATATATATATATATATATAGAATATTACAGAAAAATACAGTGATTTATATCAAAATTATTTAAATAAACAATTTTCCGTAAAATTCACAGATTATCTTAAAAGCACCTAGATTTTTTATTAATCATTAATGAAATTATAATTAATCCATTATTATAAGATCAAAAGTTCATTTTAAATACCTGCTCCAAAAATCTTAGTTTAATAAGCGCAAATGCCCAATTTTTCATTAACTTATGAAAATTTTTTGATGTTTCTGCATATTTAGTTTCTACAAATATAATAGCAACTTGTTTTTTACGCTAAACAAAACAGACAATTAACAAACTCTAGCAATTGCACTGCAAACGAGTATCATATCCCATAAGCAAGTGCACTGTGAATCAGCCTGCAGTGTTGCCAATTCATTTTTTGTTTTTGAATTAAATATCTACCATTAATCCGTATTTTTCTGCCAAAAAAAATCCTAAGTAATGGAAAAAGATGGGGAAATTTTAACAAAGGTCGCTCAGAATTTTGCGCAAAACCAGCAAGGTGTTCTATTGAATTTACAATGTTGTCGTCTGTTTCAAGTTGACTTGGCAACGCGGCAAGTGCGTAAATATTTCAAAAAATATTTAATTCTCCATAACTTCGAATAGCTTTATAATACTCGTATGTTATTACCATTATTTTAAAAGTAACTGAAAAATTATATCCTGGGTCTCAACAGAATTATACAGGGTGTTGTTCAAGCCAACGTATGGACAAAACAGTTGGATTAAAATTATTAACGCCAAAACTTTTACGATACTGATTTCGAAAACGGGAAGATTGTGGACAAAGTAAATAGAAAAAATGGAAAAAGACATTTCTTAGAGTTTTATGCTAGTTTGGGTTCTGCTTCCACATTGCTACGGTACGCGTACGCACTTTCCCAAACACCCAGTATAACGGGGAAAGTTCGTCTAATCGGCGGACCATTCGGACATGATAGTTTTATCAGAATCGGCAGAAACTCGAACCAATTAAGGATTAATCCTCGTCACGCGAAACAATAGAAATAAATAAAAGCCAATTAGTCAGCACCGCTAACAAGCCACGTAGATCGTGACTCCTAATGACTCGTTTTAAGAGCTCGTTTTGTCCGCGGTAAACGTGTCCGCTTCAGCTAATTTAGAACAATGCGTGGACAGTATTATCGTAATTATTTCGACACAAGAAAACCCGATTACTGTCCGGTCGTTAAAAGTAAAAGTGGAGATTACCAAATTTGAGGCAGAACCGATTACCCTTACGCACTCCTCGTGATTAATTGGATAGGCGTTGGCGCATTGTTTTAAAAGCCACAGGCGATTGCGTCGCAAAAAACCTCGCTTATATGCAGATTAGCGCCTAACAAATTAACGTCACTGGATCAGATCTGCGCTTTAGTTTGGGCGCTTCAGTGGCGTGCTCGATATTTTTGCTTGCAAAGTGTCACATCTTTCAGGAAATTGAAGCTGTGTATTTTAACCTGTATCTGTAAATAAGCCATTGTGCTTCTTCTTAGGTTTACATACATTTTGATTTCTGGACATACCTTGACCGTTGTTCACCACTCAGTAGTAACTTCCTATTCGGGAGAATGAATTACATTAAAATTTGTTTTTAACCAACCAAACCATATTTTTTTAAAATACGCTTTGCGTCCGTAATCAAATTTTCTTATTGCTTTTTAGGACTGCCAGATATAAAAAAAAATTATGTTTCAGCAGTCAAAAATTGATGAGCAGGGGTCCACGCGAGGGATCATCAGGTTACGACAGCAGCGACAATGAAACCACCAATCAATACAAACAAAACCGGAAGTATCGTTCGGATCCCGACTTCCGGATGCAGAGCGCTCATCCTTCGTACCATCACGGGGTAAGCCACGCCCCCGACTCTGTTACGCTTTAAAAAAAATTCTTTTGGGTATTTTCTATATACAGTTGTTTTTAAAGGGGTTGCGGTTTTCAACGCAGCTTGCGGCTTTTTTGTGAAATTAAAGACAGTGGTTGTCGATTTTTTAAAAATAACTTTATTTTCGAATTACAAATTTACAAGATTACAACGTAAACTGCTGCAGTCACGCTCTGAAGAAGCCATCAGGATTATTGACGAAACGTCAGCAATTTCGACTAAGCAAAAACCGGCGCAGGAGGAATCCAGAAGTACTGTAAAAAGCATTACAGCAGCCTGGGGAACATTCTTTGAAAAATGAAAATAGAATCTTTTTTTACCTCTTCGTATATTTTGGTATATAGATATACCAGATTAGAAAATTTAAAAATCACCGATTATCTTAAAAACTAAGAGAACTATTAAAATTTATTATTTTTTAATTATTCAATTGCATTTCATACGTTTTAATTAATTGTTTATTTATCGACCTCAAAGTTTTTACATTTCTTTTATGAGCTTCTCAAATCTCTAACCTCACATTCTCGTCGATGGCGTGATATCGTAGCGTCCCGTAAAATTTCTCATATAATTATGATTGGTTCGACGTTAATTGTGTGCGACCGACTCACAAATAATAGCGAACAGTATTTATGGTAAAGTCGCCAACGCATGACCATACTATGCAACCACCTGCAATGTTAAATGAATCGGATAACAATCCATTACGCAAGACTTGTTCGGAATAATGATTGGCCAGTTCCTGTCGATTTTTAGCGATTCTTTTGTTGCCGACGGTTCGCCTTATTGTTGGTTGTCGTCGGTCGGTCGTCATTCTAGGCCACGCCCGTTAAAAAATTAAGCGAATCGCTGACCGAGAAGCCATTAGTTCATTAATTTTATGGGATTAGTAAATGCGGAAGACAAAGCTTACCTATATCTTAGTTGACCTTATAAAATGCTTATAAAATGCTAAGGTCACTTGCTTGCTGAGGATTGTCTCCATTGTTCTTGCGTATTTCTCTTATACAGTGTCACCATTAAAGTCCTGCAACATATGAGCACATTTTTTATTAATGCGTTTTAGCAAATTGTGATCCAGCGAATAGGTAAATAATAAATAAATTAACTTACGAAAGTTTTTAAACTTCGCCTTTACCGATCAAAAGTGACATGTTTTAAAATAGTATATTATGCAACTTTTTCTGCGACCGTTAGTCTTTGGATACATTTTCGCAAAACAACACGAATACATTCACTGACATGACCGTCAGAATTGACAAGCGTCAAAATTCAAAACGCGGGCAATATCTCCGAAAACATCCGATTGCTCCCAAATCCGTGCGGTAAAATCCCGGAAATGGCCAAACTGACGTGGTAAAGTGACGCTTCCCGCACGCTAGATCGGTGTGTAATTAGGTATTTTACAGACGGGAGTAGAAAAAAGATATTAACAAAAAAAATAGGTTTAGATAGCTATTTAGGTTTCAATTTTTTTAAAAAACTAGACTAGACCAAATATTGTAATAAAGCATTTTCCTTTAAATTAGTTCTAAAAATGCTCGATTTCAAAAAAAGTGAATATGGGTTTAACATTTCAAAGCCAAGTGAAGTTTAGTTGATTTTATTGTAGTACAAAGATTTGATTTAATAAAAAAATTTTATTGTATTTTTACGTCAACTGAAATGTAATAAAATTACTGGTTGCCATTAAACCTATTCGTTTATCGTTCCGATCGGTTCCGCTATTGTCGCTTTTTAACTCTGTACGTTAGACAGAGAGAGATGTACAATTGGATATGTGATATAAACAACGGAATAAACACAATTTTAAAACGTTATGTTGATTATTTAACTTTTATAATTGACCATTGATCAGTTTATTTAAAGAAAAAGACTGTAATTGGAAGAAAAATCATCCAAGGATAGAGCTGTTAAGATCAATTTTGTTTTATGGGTACTGATGAGACATGGTTATTTGAAAATCGTACAATTTGTCTTGGCAAGATATTAACATAACAACCGTAAAAACCACCAAAGTTGTTGTGAACGGTATTTAAAATTTCTGTGGGAAGCTTAAATTATAAATGTCACTTTAGTCACCGACTATTCAACTAGATTTTAATTGTAGCCTATAGCACGTAGTATTTAAATTGTTTGATATATCGCATAACATTTTTCTGTGTATTAGTTTTTGGGTACATTTTTGCAAAACAACACGGATACATTAACTGACAAACGTCAAAATTCAAACCGTGCGGTAAAATCTCAGAAAAAAACCCATTGCTCCCAAACTCGTGCGGGGAAATTGCGCAAGTGACCGAAGTGGCTCGGATCCTTGGGAAACGAAATTGACGTGGTAAAGTGACGCTTCCCGCACACTAGATTGGTGTGTAATTAGGCATTTTACAGACGCAAGTAGATTAGGCATTTGACTCGCGAATTTATTCGACACGAGCGGAGCCCAGCGGAGCAACACGTTCCGTAAACTTTTTAAGTCACTCGCTCCGCTCGTGTCAAATAAACTCGAGAGTCAGATGCCGTTTACCGCACTTCTCGCATAATATACTATTTTTACACTTTATACGTTTGTATGTATTAGTTATATGTATTGATATCGTTTTATTTTGACCAGTCGAAGTGAAATAAATCTGTCAAGACTTCGTCCAAAGCAAAATCCGTTGTACGTCATCAACCAGAAAATTAGTCTTGCTGGCAAGTTGTGACGGATATTTGGAAATCTTTTATTTATTGTGACTATGTTGTTATTATTATTGTTCGTAAGAATCTACCTCCTTGGAAGAATCTAATTTATGTTAAAGACAATAAGTTGATGACCTAAAATGTCGTTTTTTATTAGGAGAAAATAAAGGTGAAAAATTAAATGTTAATTTTTAGTTTTTTAACAAGGAATTTTTATCAGCTCACTAAAAATTATAAGATAATTTAATGACAGTAAAAACCTCACAATTGGGAGTATTCTTTTGCTTATATTTTGAGTCTGTCTCGTCATGTGGAAACCTCAACACAAACCGCTTCACTTTAAAAATAACATTTGATTTTGCATTTTCTACAATTCTGCAATATTTAATTAACAATACAATAAATACTATAAATAATAAATTTGTAAATTATTATTTCACATGGCTAATAACATAACTGTAGCAAAAAAAATGCACGCACGTGTATATAAAAAAATAAAAATAGGCTTCAAACTAAACCTACTCGAAAATCACTTTCATTTTTCTTGATTTCTAAATATTTGTCTTTTTTTTTTAAATTAACAGTGATAATGCTTTTAATTATAAAATTTATCATTTTTGCTGCAAAAGGTTCTTTGAAAAAGAGACGTCTTGTGTGATGTATGAATTCTTGAATGCTATACTCATAGTGAATCGTAGGTTTTTTCTTTATATGGTTTAAGAAATAGTCTGGCGCGCTTTGTAAAGGATATAATTTTACTTATTTTTACTTCATCAGTAAGTAGTTGAAGTTATAAAGAGTGAATATTTTTTCGTAGCAGCTACAGGAACCTCCTCACGCTCATCTACCGCTGGCGGCGATGCACCAAGGGGGCATCAGACCCACACCCACCCAATGGAACCGAAACAAGAGTATATCGGAGGCTAACCTTCTGGCCGCCGAATACAACAGACCTTACCATCCGGCGGGAATACCACCTCATCTGAGGGACCCTCGAAGAAACAGCGTGGCAGAGTTCGGACACCACGTGGCCCAACACGACGTCGTAGATCACAGGTATACTTTGGGCACAGACCACATACATATACTGACCGTTATGCAAAGCGCTAATTTAATTATTTTTATGAAGTACTTAGAGGAAGTTTAATTGCTTCGGTATAATTAATGATTAATTATAAATTTGATACGTAATTTGAATCATATACACTAAAGTCGAACGACTTAAACGTACTAATTTGAAATTTTAATTTTGTATTGTCGATGATAATTAAAAATTACACTTACGTACGTCAATATACATAAAATTAAAGCCGTATAAGCATCGGAGAGGTTTAATTCATTCTTACCTACCCATGCACATTAGTATATAGTATGCTAATTTTGGCCAAAATGTCTAAAAGTCAATTCTGGAAAGTGAACTTATGGCTGGTGACACAATGACAACAAAATGTAAGGGCATTACAAACTACGAAAGTTTAGATAAATAATGCATCGGCGGCTGTGCGGCGATATCACGAAGTTGGCTTTGACTTTGATAGTCAAGTTTTTGCTTGTTTTAATGAAAGCTTCATTCGTGTTACGACTGCGATGTTTGGTGATAGTGATAACCTAGATTTTTTTGCAATGGAGATTACAAACTCAGGTAAGGTTATGAAAATTTTTAGAAGAGACTGTGAAAAAAAATTGTTACTTTCAAAAATCGATGAAATCGAATTTTTCGAATGTACCTACGCTCGTATAAAAATTTTATATCTCGGTAACGGTAAGTCCTATGCGATCACCGTTGGTACAGAAATGATCACCGTCGAAAAAAAAAAGTTATTTTTTGAAACACGATAAGTGTCCGAAATTTGAAGCAATCGACTTCATATTTGGCATATATATGCAGCTTTGACCATTGACAGAACCTATTGAAAGTGGGGGGCTGAGGGGTCGGGAAGTATTCTAAAAAAATAAAAAATCGGGTGTGCAAGGGTCTACAAAAACCATCATTTTTCAAAAACCGTTTAGGAGACCGAAAAAATTCTTGAACCAGAAGACGCATAAACTTTTATTCTTGACAATTTTTCAGTAATATACAGGGTGCGTCGCAAATTCAAAAAAACTGAAAAATGGGTCTTCCTATTATTGAAAATTGGTTAACAATAACTGAAAGACTACGATTCAGATCTCACTTTCTTTTATATTGCGATATAGCCCTCCTAGACAGCAACAACTTTTGTACAAGGTGTTCCCGATATTCTGTGCTAAATGAGAAATGTGTTAAGTGTCCTAAATTTCCAGATATCAATTTCAAATTTGCCAGAGAAGTAAAAGGTCTGTGTCCATATTTAAATCCAATTTTACCAAGTATTTTTTAAAAATGTTAGAAAAATTTTTTTTGGTCATTTTTGCTTCCATAAAAATATGTTTTCCTCTATAATCGTTTTGGTCTCCAAAGACGGCAACACGACCAGGAAAGCCAATGCTCAAGAATTTGCAGAGATAACAGGTGTTTCTTACAGTTTGATATTTCGGTGCTGGATTATTTTTATCGCACTCAATTGACAGCTTCCAATAAACTTATCTAAGTTCGAGGCGTACTGCTTCGAGACTGGCCTATTTTCATGGAACATATCCGCGATTTCCACAATTCACAAAATTATTGTACATAGTAAACAAATCATTGAAAACCACGTGTTGTGTTGTTGTGTTGATAGGTTTCTTCGGTGAGGGAGCTTCGAAGTCTAGAAATGAGATATACAATGATATATAGGGAGTTTCATGCCAGAAAAAGCAGCAGAATTAATAACTTGACCGCTATATTTCATCGAGCAATGGATACCTCAGACCCTTTCATATCTTCGTTGTCCCTTAAAACAAGAAAATCAAAATTGAAAATAAAACTGCTGCCGCCTGAAGTTCAAGATTTATTGAATTCTTATGAATACAGTCTTGATGACGATAAATTAGAAGATTTAGATTGGGAGTCGTCGAAAATAGAATTTTTTTTGGATTCCTTAGAATTGGATAACTTAGGTAGCAGTGAACATTTGTGAAGTAGGTAAAATTGTAAATACACATATATGTAGTTTTTCTTTCAAAATTAGTGTTTTTGTGCCCGAATGATTTTTCAAATGCAAGCAAAGGAAATAAGTAAAGCGGGTGTAAAACAAAGGAATTTTATAAAAGTGTTATAAAAGTTTTTTATATTAGTTTATGGTTTGATCAAGTTCTGTATTCAAGTATCCTTGGAGCAACAGTAACAAGCAACACACGTATTTGAAGTTGATTTACAATATAACAATATTAATAAACAATTTTGGCCCACGAATTAACAATTAATTTGAGTCGACTTAGCAATAATCTATTCATCAACCGAGGCAAATAACCGTAACAATTTGTAAGTCTGCAAAACTTGAACTTTTTCAGTGTGATCAGCCGTATTAGCAGGCCGGTGTCGAAAGCGGAGAGCCAGTTATCGATGCCAGTGTCCAGAAAAGCGCCCTCTGTAATTAGGAATGACTACCTGGGGGCGGAAGAGGACGTTACGCCGAGTTTTATGTACCCCCACTTGCAGGTAACCACAGTTGCCTATCAGCAGCTTAATTAATTAATTATTTGTTTGGATATTTGAAACAGGACTTACGTGGACCGCAGTTTAACGACGAAATTCAATTACAAGAGGCTGTTTAGCTCATTTTGCAGACAAACCAAAAGAATATTTTTTTAAAGGGATTTTTTTTTTTTAAATAATAAAAAATTGTTACTCTACTTTGTTTCTTTCATATTCAGGCCGGGAAATTTTGGCGCTGCCCTCGTACTAATAGATATATTTTCCAAATATAATCGATCCTATCTGAATTTCCTATCCGAGACAACTCCTCAATGTCCGAGTCATTCCTCAGTTGCCCGTGAATATGAAGAGTCTATAACCTCTGCTGGTATGTCTGTTACTAACTATCTAGCGGCTTGAAGAATGGATGAAGAATTTTGGAATAACGCAATGAGTTTGTAAACTCAAAATGCAATCAAAATGAAGTTAGTATGGCTCAGGCCAGACAAGCTGCTTCACACCTAATGAGCTCGCAATTTGCAGAAGCCAAGAAACTTAAGAAGAAGAAGAACCTACTTCATATCTATTCTATTTACTAGCGGATCATTTTTTAAAACAGCAAGTGTACCGTCATGGCCGCCGTTTTCATCAACAGGTCAATGGCGCGAGCATGTGGCCTTCATCGTCGACGCCGTCGTGCCTCAAATCGCGACACCACCTCCTCCTCAGCGAGATCTCGTTCGAAGCACGCGGTGGTGACGTCTTGGCAGTGATGTCAACGTCCGAAGAGGAGGGCACGGCCATTTTGGACCTCGTGGCTGGTAGGAAACGACTTACTCAAGGTGACGTCTTGCTCAACGGTCAGAGGCTCAGATGCGACGCGTTGAGGTCGAGGGTGGCCTACGCTCAGAGCAACCCCCATTTGTGCAAAGACATGACAGCAGTGCAGATGATGAGGTAACGGTTGTTCTGCACACGATACGATTTTTTTTTAACAACGTGGTTAAAATTCGGGAGGTGATTTTATTTATTATAAGTTATAGTGTGAATCGCGTAATTAAATACATGCATATCATCAGAAATAGTTCGACTTTCAAATAGTAGTATTGGCGTGCCGGTTAAGGCATCTCATTGAAATCAGATCACTGCAAACGACCTCTTTCTTGTTTAAAAATACCCTTTTTTTATTAACAAGTAACCTAAGAAAATTTTGTGAACTATGAGAATTGAGTGCAAAAAATGCCTAAAAACTTATACCCGTATATTATATCATGAGAAATATCTCAGTCTAAATAATAGCAATAGTAAAATAGTAATAATATATTTTTTCTACTCCCGTCTGTAAAATACATAATTACCCACCGATCTAGCGTGCGGGAAGCGTCACTTTACCACGTCAGTTTCGTTTCCCACGAATCCGAGCCACTTCGGACATTTCCGGGATTTTACCGCATGGATTTGGGAGCAATCGGATGTTTTCGGAGATATTTCCCACGCTGATGGTCATGTACGACGGTCGTAGAAAACGTATAGTATACAACACGTTCGGTAAACTTTTTAACTCACTCTTTTATTAAAAACTCGTGAGTCAAATGCCGTTTACCGCACTTCTTGCATAATATACCCACGTCAAAGTGTGGGAAATATCTCCGAAAATGTCCGAAGTGGCTCGGATTCATGGGAAACGAAACTGACGTGGTAAAGTGACGCTTCCCGCACGCTAGATCGGTGGGTAATTAGGTATTTTACAGACGGGAGTACAAAAACGGTATTGTTGGTTACCTTTCAACCTTAAGTTAAATAAGTTTTGCAGGTTATCGATCCAGCCGAACATTGTCATTCGGAATGATTTTATCAATATAATTTTTATAAAACAAAACAGTTGTTTTTTGTCCAGTCTAATGCTTACACAGATAGAACGAATTAATCTTTCTTTCAACCATGTTTGTTTATTGCCAGCAGCGCTACCATTGGAGAATAAATTCACGAATTACTTTTCAGATTTCACTACGATCTCAAGAGACCGACAGGAAAGTTAGGCTATTTGAAAATAAATTCGGCAGACCGGGTAAGCGGCTAAAGTCAAGTCTGTTCATAGGTATAAGAAAGTGACTAACTGATACGAATTAAGGAAAGACCCGGGCAAGCTGTAAGAATGAAATATGGCCGAACAGGTCCGTACTAAACAATATTTATTTATTTATTTATGTATTTATGTTTAAATCTAAAATAAAATTAAAAATTATTTTTATTACCTACTTAAATTACTTAAAATTATTCACATAATATATCAGTATCACTATAGTTTTCATCTCCTGTTCTAATTATTATTTGTTCTATATTATTTGCAATATACGATTGTTCTGCTTTTTCTATATGTTTAACAGAATTTGCCAAATTTGTGGAGGGATGTTAAAAACTTCACTTTCTATAAGTTTGAGGACACTGGAGTTAATACGTGGAAAACATTGTTACGAATGGCAGATTTCAGTTGGTGGCAAACATCTTAAATGGGATTAAATATACAGTGGTCAAATGGAAGGAAGCCTTAAAACTGTATGCCCTAGATTTTTTGCATAATTATCACAAACGCACCCCTTTTGTACGTTCAACCTTTGTAGAACCTTAATTAATTACTTTTTGGTTTAATTTTCGTGAAAATAAATGTCGTTATTATACATGTAGTTTTGGATTGTTGCTTTTGTGTCACATGTGGAAGGGGTTTTAGTCAACTGTCTACTGTGATGACTTGCATTGTCCATTACAATTACGCTATTAGGAGGAATGTTTGGAACTAGTTTGTTTTTAAACCAACTTTCAAATAAATCAGCGGTGGTGTCTTCATGGTAATCCAGAGAAGAATCTTTAATATTTTTCGCAGACAGAGAAAGCCCATTTGGAATCCAACCATCTTTAGAGCCAGCATGCAAAAGAGTTATTCTTTTACCCTTTTCCGGGGTATCATAAGTGTCGAACCAGGTTTCATCCAAGTAAATAATTGGCCTTTGTTGTTCTCTGTAAATCATATTTTTTTCTAGATACTCCAGTCGCCATTTCCGAATTCTAGAAAATTCCATTAAAACTTGCCTTTTGTCAATTTTTTTAAATCTAAAATCCATGTGTTGAATAGACTTCCATAAGGTAGTTCTGCCACATTTAACACCGGTTTCATCTTTTTCAAGCCTCCTAATTAACATATCTAATGTAGGCACGCTTTGTTCCTCGTATAACTGCTAAATTTTACGCCGTATTATATCGTGACCACTTTCATCTACACTCGAGAAAATGTCAGCATCGCTTCTTTTCTTCCTCGCTGAAATGGGATTATTCACAATTTAAATTACAGTTGATGTTGGAATTTTCGTCAATGTGGCCGTTTCTTCTAAAGATGCTGGCTTGCTGGCACCACGTTCAATGAGAGTCAAATAAACATTGTTTATAACCTCCTTAGTCTCAATAGAATAGTGCTTTCGACATTCGGGCGAGAGCATCTCCTGAGATACACTAGACTCGCATATATTTTGCATAATTCGCCCAAGATTCAACACACGCTGTATTACACACGAAATAAACTTAAACTAAGTAGTATACCAAAGCAAAGATTAAACACAGGTAGGTATAAAATTATTTTCTATTCTGGACCAGAATTTTACCTGAATTTAATTTCCGAAACGTTAGGTAATAATCTTGTTGCATTGTATGTTAATGACCACCCTTGGATAATCCCATTTAAAAGCAATTGGTCACTTTCTTATATCTATGAACAGACCATACCTAGTAATCAGAGCCTCTGAGTCAAATACGAAGTCCAAATATTTTCAGATAAACCTACTGATAGAAGAATTGGGGTTGGAACAAGTGCGCGACACTAGGATATCGGTGATGACGGCGTCGGAACGGCGACGGCTCAACGTCGCTTGTCACTTGCTGCTCGACACCGATATCATAGTTCTGGATCAGCCCACCAGAGGCATGGACATCTTCGACACCTTCTTTCTGGTCGAGTAAGGAGTTGAAGGAGTTCAACCGGGGTCTCGGAGCTAACTCCAACTTGCACTTCGCAGATACTTACGTCAGTGGGCCAACGGAGGAGCGGGAGGTAGTTCCCTGGGCAGAATTGTGATCCTCACACTGCATCCGCCCACTTACGAAATATTCACCATGCTGTCGCGCATCCTCCTGGTGTCGGCGGGGCGAACCATGTTTAGCGGACGAAGGCGGGACATGTTGCCATATTTCTCCATAGTCGACTACCCGTGTCCAAATTACAAGAATCCCTCCGATTACTACCGTAAGCATCATAATTTTACAACGTGGACCAAATTCGAGGGGCCTCTATGGCTTTAAGCATTTGCAGTATAGTTAGTCCAAAACTAATATGCCTCGATTTTCGAGAGAAGTCGAAAACTAAAAACCACATCATGATATGGCAAAGCGTTTCTATAAAAACCTTCTATAACTTTTTTATTTGTAGAGATAGAGATTTTTATTGAAAACATTTTTTGAAGGGCAAATCTAGCTGTTTAACCGATTTTGTCTTAAGTTCACGAGATATAACACAAAGTTACATTTTTTTAAATGGAATATCCCAATCTTTTCAAAAAATTAGTTTCCTAATAACATTTCCTGTCAAACGATGTGCTATATACATATTCCACAGTGCGAGGTTCAATTTTCGTATTTGCAGTTTTCACGCGACGGATATTTGACAAAATCAAAACATTTTTGGTACAAATTTTTATATTCATTATTCTAGAAACACTTTAATGAACCCGGATTGATTGTAATTTCAGTGGACTTGGTTACACTGGACGACCTGTCAGCTGAAGCTATGCTAGAGTCGTCGCAGCGGATCGAACAGCTCGCTGAAATTTTTCGACACAAACAACCCCCCATGAGCGACCCAGGCCCGCCCTCGCCGCTGCCCATGACCGTTAAAAGCACCAACTGCGTGTACCAGTCGTTTGTATTGTTCACGTAAGTTTGGGCATATTTTTGTAACCCATTAAACCAAGATTTCTTGAAATCAGCGAAAGGAAACCAACAGAGTGTATACAAGGTGTTTCAAAACAAATTTGATAAACTTGAGGAGGTGATTCGTTGTTTAAAATAAAGGATAGGTTGCAAAGTTGTGTCAAAAGCCAATTAGGGAAATATCGCACTACAAATATTGAAAAGTATTCAAACTAACTGAGCAATGTCAAAAAAACAAAAGGTTTAAGAAATATCAGCAGCTCATTAGATCTTTTCTCTAACAAATACATGCCGTTAGCATTTCCCTAAGCACTGGTAGGTTATCAGGTTTTATAATGTAGGTAAACGTAAATTTTCTGCTAGAAATCTGAAGGGAGTCCGTTTGAATAAATGTACATCTCCTCCAATCTCAATCTCTTCCAGAACCTTCTCAAAATCGGTATTTATAATATGACGCCGGTACGTGGATAAAGGTCCTTCATTGTCGTTGCGGTTTTTGGTTAGACAAATGACAAAGAAAAAAATAAATTTTTAGGTCACAATCCTGCTTTTTCTCACAGTTCTTGACAAGGATCGATTTGTCGCTGAAGAGTAAAAATTGTGTTGTTTTTTTAATAGAAATTTTTCAAGAATACTGTACAGGGTGCGGCAAAAAGGTAGGCAGGATTTCAAATAGTGGTTGTTCGGTTTGTAAAACCGGCAACACTGTGTACGCACTCGCGTTAGGCAGACAAAAATATGCAATTTTAAGTTATCGACATGGCTTGGAGCGGAGTGCATCGTGCTTTCGTTGTCACGGAAATGTGTAATAGCGACGCAGCGCGCCTTTCGTAATCAGTTTGATGTTGGTCGGCATGCCGCGGTTCCGGATGGAAGAACAATTCGTCGGTGTGTTTTACAGTTCAGGGAAACAGGTTCTGCGCTTAACCGAAAATCTACTAGCCGACAGTAAGAACACCGGAAAATGTGAATGCAGTAAGAGTTTCCGTACAACAGTCTCCAAGGCGTTCAGCTCGTAAGCATGCAGCTGCTTTGGGAACTACCGATAGAAGTGTTCGAAGAATTTTACACAACTCACTCCAAATGCATCCGTACAAAATAATGGTAGTGCAGGAATTAAGCGCAGGAGATTTTGAAACCCGTACAAATTTATGCCGGGATATTCTTCAAAACATTCCCAAAGGCACTGTATTCATGTCTAGCGATGAAGCTCATTTTCACGTCTCGGGTACCGTAAATAAGCAAAATTTCCGTGATTGGTCAGCAAATAGTCCACAGGAACTCACTTTTTCGAAGAAGATGGAATAACGGTAACAGTCAACGGAGATCGATATTTTCATATACTTAACAATTTCCTGCGTCCAAAGTGAACGAGTTGAACAACGATCAAAGAGAACATCTTTGGTTCCAGCAGGATGGTGCTACATCGCACACAACGCGTCGCTCACTAAATTTTCTTCAAGAAATGTTCCTAAACAAAGTGGTGTCTTTACGGGGTGATCTTGGCTGGCCGCCACGTTCGCCTGATTTGTCGCTATGCGACTTTTTTCTTTGAGGTTACCTGAAAGCGTTTTCGCACATCGTCCGTAGACTTTGGAAAAATTAAAAGAATTAAGACAAGAAATTGCCTCAATTCCCCAAGAAATGATCCATCTGGTGATGCGCTTCCGCGAGAACCTACAAGAGTGCATTGACAATAATGGCCGTCATTTAAAAGACATCATTTTTTAAAAGATAACGTTCCTAAATGGCATAAAATGTACATTTCAAAAATAATTAAATGTTTGCTTCATGTAGTTTGGTTAATAATACCTATCATTTTGCCGCACCCTGTATTTTCACATTTCATGAAAATACGTCCGTTTTTAGTTCTTTGCTATTCCCTAAAATTCAACTAACAACTAATCTACTCCAGGAAAGCCATGATTTACACTCAACCCAACACGTTCATCAGCTGGCTGACATTGATAATCATGTCGGCGAGCCTGTCCCTCGTCTTGGGTGCAATATTCTGGGACGTGCCCAACTCAGATCCCCAGCTGAATTTAAACGATAGATTAGGTTATCACTACAGCGTCATGTGCGTGGCCCCGTGGCCTATTCTACTCTACCTCACCCTGCACGAAGTCAAAAAGAACAGGAAGACCGTCGAGAGGGACATCAGCGACGGCCTCTACGGTAGATTCACTTATATTTTTACAAAGGTTCGTCCTTTATATTGCCCCGTAGACACGTAATTCGTTTGGGTTTCTGTTGCAGACTGTTATAAACGTATTCCCTTCGTTATTTATATGGTTGATCTACATTATACCGAGCTACTCGATGTGCGGGCTGTACATGCAAAGCTTGAACAATTACGACGGGTTCTACATCTACATAGGTAACCGCGTCACCATCAAAACGACGTTTTATCCAGAGCAAACCTTGAAACAGTTTCTTAGTCAAAATTATACAGGGTGTTTGGTAATTTATGTCATCTAATTTAATAAGCGAAGTTAGGGCTCGGGTTTTAAATCTTATCGGCACTGAAAATCGATGGAGCAACACAATGTTGCAAACAGAACTTTTTTGTAACTCACGAAAGAAGAGAAAGTCTCTTAAGGTTAAGAAAAAAAATCTTTCTGTAATACTCCGCGAAAGAAACTGTAGGTGACAATACAACTGATTAATACTTTTTGCAGGTAAAACTGATAGTTTCTTGCTTAATTTCTTTTATTTCCCACTTTACTAAAGTTCCCATTCGTGAAAGTCTCAACATGATTAAAATTCGAGAATCTGGAACCATCTTAATCGAAAAATGCTTGCCTTTTAACTGTAAAACGTATGAGCAAACATCGGGAACAGGTAAGGGTTTTCCATAATCACCAGTCATCAGTCTTTAAGAAGAAAGCCTTCGACACCTTCAATCTATAACGCAAATTATGGAAATTTTACGTTGATGACACTTTTGTTATTTTACCATTGAATTATAAACTAATAATAGTCTAATATTCTTAGATATTCTTATCAATAGAAAATTGAGAATAACACATAGACCGATAGCCCAACTCAACATTACTGACCACTTATCAAAAGATCTTAATAAATATGTCAAAACCAGATATACCACTTGTCCAAAAATCTGTCTACATCTTCGACGAAAAAATTCCATTTGAGATATGGTCTGTTCATAAATATAAGAAAGTAACCAATTACTTTTGAATGTGATTATCCATTAACGTACAATGCAACAAGATTATTACCTAAAGTTTCGGAATTTAAATTCAGGTAAAATTGTGGTCCGTAATAGAAAATAATTTTATACCTACCTGTGTTTAATATTCTTTGGTTTGGTATACTACTTAGTTTAAGTTTATTAGTAATCATTCTTATTTCGTGTGTAATACAGCGTGTAATGAATCGTGCGCGAATTAAGCAAAATATGTACGAGTCTAGTGTATCGCAGGAGATGCTCCCTCCCAAATGTAGAAAACACTATGCTATTGAGACCAAGAAAGTTATACACAATGTTTATTTCACTCTCATTGAACGTGGTGCCAGCAAGCAAGCATCTTTAGAAGAAACGGCCACATTGACGAAAATTCCAACATCAACTGTATGGAAAATTGTGAATAATCCCATTTCAGCGAGGAAAAAAAGAAGCGATGCTGACATTTTCTCGCGTATAGATGAAAGTGATCAAAATATAATACGGCGTAAAATTTACCAGTAATAAGAGGAACAACGCGTGTCTACATTATATATCTGAATTAGGAGGCTTGAAAAAGATGAAACCGGTGTTAAATATGACAGAACTACCTTATGGAAGGAAGTGTATTCAACACATGGGTTTTAGATTTAAAAAAATTGACAAAAGGCAAGTTTTAATGGAATCTTGGCTAAAACCTCTTCCTCATGTGACACAAAAGCAACAATCCAAAACTACATGTATAATAACGACAATTATTTTCACGAAGATTATACCAAAAAGCAATTAATTGAGGTTCTACAAAGCTTGAACCTACAAAAGGAATACGTGTGATAATTATGTTTTGTACCAACTGAAATGTGCCGTTCGTCGTAACAATGCTCTTTCTCCAATGTCCTCAAACTTATAGAAACCGAAGTTTTTAACATCCCTGCACAAAGTTGGGCAAATTCCGCTAAACATATAGAAAAAGCAGAACAAAGAACAATCATTTATCCATATTGCAGATAATATAGAATATAGAAGCATATAGAATAATATAGAAAGAATATATAATAATTACAACATTCGATGATAGCGATAGTGATACTTATATATTATGTGAATAATTTTAATTTAAGTAGGTAATAAAAATATTGTTTAGTATCTTTCCTAACATAACCCCAAATAATTAAATTTTAAGCAAAGTACGGACCTGTTCGGTCATATTTCATTCTTTCCCGCTCTATGAACAGACTTTACCAGGAGTTTACAGCATCCCACATATATGCGGCAAAGAATACATTTGAGAGATCGGACGAAAAATATCAACTAGGCTCAAAGGACATGAAAGAGCCTCAAAACTAAGGCAAACAAACTCATCAGCAGTTGTCGAACAAAATCACGAAACCGGACATCAAATCTTATAAGATAAAAGTAAAATTCTTGCGTATAATCTATTCTTCTACCAACGAAAAATCGAAGATCCTACATAAATCTCTACGTAACTAAATAATCTTAACAGCGACTCAAGTCTTCACGTTTCACCAATATGAGAATCAGTTATGCGAGACAATGTTCATGCCCCTCCTTTAGTATGCGAACCCGTTTTAGTTTAACTCTGAACAAGCTGATTGGCGCAAGCAAGTTTGATTTACAAACAACCGACGAAGGAAGCTAATCAATTATATGATAGGAATTCCATAACACCCTGTATATTAGATAATTGACTAAGGACCTAGGTTTAGAGCTTTGGTTTAGTTATAAGTATGCTAAAATTCCCTATTTAAAGCCTTGTTGCTGACGTTGGCGACATCGTAAGACACATTCTACAGAGTGGGAGCTTTGCTGGTCTTTGGATATAATTTTATCGAGTATAGCTTAAGTTAATACAAATACCCCTCTGGTTTTTCAGGTGTCATGCTCCTATATCTGAGCTGCTTGCAGATAATCCTCCTCTATTCCATTTACCTGCTCCCATTCTCAGACACGGCCGCCATAGTGGCTTCGGTGGTGGTGTCCGCGTTTTTCCTAGTCGCCGGCTACGCGCTGCACTTTAGAGACCAGCCCTATTACGTTTCATGGCTGAGGCATATAAGCCCCACGTCCTGGCTGATGCCCTACGTGCTCAACAGGGAACTGAGCACCGAAGCGATCGAGAGCAGTTCAATTGCGCCAGTGTGTCGAAACAAACAGGTGAGATTCATTTGGTTTTATTGGGATCTATATTTTTTTTCAATATGGCGGAAGTGCTACTTTTAAAGGCTTTCGACATTGGCCAAACGGATACCTTTGCATAAGTCCACTTATTAAACAAAAGCAACGCCAATGAACATTAAAGTATCTACAGTCGTTTAGAGTGGCAACGCTGTAATCGACTGTCATAGGTTTTTAAAATTGACGTAACACAATTTACAATGAATAAAACCCTATTGAAACTGATAAAGGTATACCGCCACGATGTAATTTACATTTAATAATCTCCACTGAAGGTTTGGGCAAAAATATATACAGTAGGCAGATCATTAAACACTATAGCCAACAACTTCCGGCGTTTCCGGTACTTTAGTCACTGGTTCGGGAACGATCAGCTGCTTTCGGTACATTCTAAACACTGTTGGTACTTTGACATGTGTCAGTTATCATAGTAACATCATACGTCGCCCAATGCATGTATTCTAACTGTCTTGTTTTCTAGAACCACTCACTAGACAGCACAATCATCTTCCTAGAAAACGCATAGAATATTGAAGAAATATATTTGAATGTTCAGTGAATATCTTAGTTACTTCTAGGAATATTCTCAGAACACCCCAAAGTTCTGAGAATGTACTGAAGATATATGGTAGAATGTTTTTGTAATATTCTATGCCTTTTTCTAAGTACTTTATTCTCCCTCTGCATCTCATGCTTCCTCTTCCTTGTTCTCACTCTCCTTACACTTCACTAGCCCTGTTTAATGACTCTTTCTCTGTCAGATTCAATTGTGGTATTAAAGAATTTTCTCACTCACTCAAGAGATTTCCGAGAAATTTTTCCATAATTTTTATCAGAATATTTTCCCCTTGAATTATAGACGCTACATTTTTGCTTTCATTTGAAATTATACTTAACCCCTAGAAAAAATAAAAAAATAAGTTAAGTGTGTGTTAAGTAAAAATAAAAATAAGTAAGTCAGCAATACTTGTTAATAATAATAAATAATTGTAAAATATTCTCTTTTAATGTTGCCGTGCATAGCTTCATAGAATATTTTTAATCATGTAATACATCTTATGATCATTTATTAGGTAGCGTTAAATAAAATCCTTCGAAGAAATCCAACTAAGCAACACAACGTCGTGACTAAAGTGGGGTGTGTCAAACTTGTTGCACTAAATATTAATATTATAATTTTGGATATTTGGACAATGTTTTTATTAGGTCCAAATTCTCAAATTTGCATTTGTTTTAATGCCGTTTATCAAGTTTGTTGCATAAATCGATATCTTAAAGAAATTCAGCTGTATGTTTTGTTTATTCTCCAGCATTTTTTTCATTTTGTAACATCAAGTAATGTTTGCGACAGCATCTTTTTATCTTTTAATTTTTATGTATAATGTACTTTGAGTCTTATTTTAAGAGCCTATTGGTATTTCGATTTCGTGACAGGTATATTTTAAAGTGGCATCTTCTAACTTCTTTAAAAATCGACTCTTCCTCAATTTTCCAAATGCGTTTGGTCAACGTCTTAAGCTTGTCATGATAATAAGTAGAGAAATAACATCTGTATCATTACTGCTAATAGATTCAGCATCAAGATATAATCGTTCAGCTACCGTGTCCGCCACCAAACGGCACCCAAGTACTGTTCAATTATGGATATTTGTCGTCCCAGAATCAAGTGTTCGACTACGGTAACGTCCCGATAGCCATGTTGGTGTTTTACGTCGTAGTATTCGCGGTTACCTGTTTGGCATTCGTGACCAACATTCGCAGAGACACTAAGCGCTCAAGCGATACCAACAAAAATTAAGTTATTCGGTATTTTTAGAGATTTTTGGAGGTTGTTAATAGGTTGGGATAGAAGCAATACGAAAGACCCGTTAGGTAGGTAAATCTACTGGATGGATGTTGTTGACATTTTGAAAATTAATCAGATCGGGATAGAAGCAATAAAAAGACCATTTGATGGATGTTGACATTCCGCTTATTAAATACTTAGATTGACTTAGAAGCAATAAAAAGACCCCTAAATGGATGCCGATGTTCTGAAAACTAAATAGGTTGGGATAGAAGCAATGGAAAAGGCCCCCCACTAATGAATGAATGACCATACACCATAAAACGTCTGCTCTCCATGGATAAAAGATAGACGAGTAATCAAATCAATGAATTACAACTCTACTAAATAAGAATAGAAAGGTGCTTCGAGACCTGAAAACCCTGCAATAACATTTATTTCATTAATTTTTTGATAAATAAATTTTTGTTGCGAAAGAAAAGAAAATATCTACATAATAATAGTCCAGTCCAAGCCCAATTTTTATCTTCTATTTTTACTATTGTTTGGTCGCTTACATTTTGTGATTCAGTTAGTGGGTTCTTCAAGCAATTCAGGTCTAATTTTTTCCAACTGTGATATTTTGCACAATAAAACGTTAATCTTAAAAATGTCCAAGATACTGTTTTAATAGTTTCACCAAGAACATATCCCAATTTTTATTATTGAATGAACTAGCCAATTAAATACACTGCTCAACAGTGAAAGTCGCGGTAGCCGTTGAATATCTAATTAATAAGTTTGTGTGCCTCACATTATATAAAACAATATGCAGATTCCTAGACATTTTAAGAAAATATTTTTAAAATGATACAAGGCATCGTTGAGCAGTGTATTGCACACAAATTAGTTTAAGTTGAATAATTAAATAAATATTTAAGGTGTACAAAACGTTGTAACGTAATTTATTTACTTAGACGATGAGAGTATTTTTAACCACCTTGTATATATAACGTGTAATAGCAAAATACCGGTATATCTATACAGTAATCTGCGGAATCAACAAAAACATACTGTCTCTAACCTTCAATCCGCATCACACTATTTAAAATGTTAATATTAAATACTTTTTGTACTCAACTTTTTTTTAATAAACGTTTTATAGAAGTCTAATATTTATTTCTTACTCCTGCCCTCCGTCACTTTTTTGAAACCGTGTCTGGTGATTTCAGTCCCGATTTTCGGGTGATAAAACTTGGGATCCACTTCTACCAGGGGTTCCGAATACCAGCCATATCTACAAATCGTACAACAATATCGCGACTCCAAATCAGCTCTTACTTCAACAAAAGGCTAAAAGAGCTAAATCGCATAAATCGTCGGATCGGAATAATATAAATTCGCATTTTGAAATACATTTTCTAACTTGGCATAGAGCAAAGAAAAACTGAAGAAGCCTTCCTCTTAGGTTTCTTTGGCAGTACCACAGTGTAAGTTTCCATAATTAACGTCATTTCACTCAAACAGAAACTTCGCGTTATTACCGCAATAAACCAATGACATAACCTCACCTTGGTGATGGAGACGGATATGTGCTTAGTAATGTAAAATCACATGTCCAAATTGTTTTCAGGTAAGTTTTAACCAAAATATGTGTACTAATTTATTAGAAAATAGTTAAATGGGCTAACCAAAAATAATTTTCTTTAACTTTTTACATTTTTAACATTTTCGCTCATACAGTTACGACTTGAGTCTCTGTTGTGGTTTCTAGTTGTGTCCATATAGCTTCTAGATTAATAGCGGTCCTGCCTCTGCTGATAAAATAGGAACGTTCGAAGGAACTAATATCGTCTGTCATTTCAAACACAGACAGAAGTATAATTTAAAAACCAGTCCACTATATTATCTGTTATAGCTATATAGTTGCACTTACGTTTGGTTTACAGTTTCAGGCCACTCGAGTTTACTTTTTGGTCCCAAGTCTTTGGCCCTGATGAGGTTTTTATACGTTTCGGGGTCGAACTCATCCACGCCGTGACCTTCATATTTCGAGTAAAACTTTGCGGTTATTATATTTTCTAAAATGCCCAAATTCGGAAGCTACCCTCGATTCGTGCAAGGTAATAACTTACTAGCGTAGTTGGGGGTGTAGGTGTCGTATACTGTTATATAACGTTCGTCTTTTTCGTACCGTTCCTTGAGGGATATGTCGCAGAGTTTTCTGGAACGTGACATTCCCGAGTGATTTGGATGACATTAGTCATTTTTTAACTTACTGGGAGAGTTAAACAGGAATCGTAATGTTCTTTAGATACGAACCCCTAATCCCCTTTCAGCTTTCTAAAGCAACCGCTGGGGGCGCGAGCAGCGCAAATAGCCAGTTTCTTATAAGCCAAATTGATAAAAATAAATAATAAAAATTTTGGTTTAGTAAAAAATATATATTTTCTTCAACTGGCCGTCACTTTTCACAATGTACCGAAGATTATAAAGAAAAAATATACACGTGTGCGTCCAAATTTTCGGAAATGCTGTGTGAGCCGCCATTTTTATCCATTACTCCCAAAGATCACAACTCCGGTTGGTCTCATTAAAACTAACTTTGCGTATCTCAGAGAAAAGATCGGTATTGTTTATTTACGAGTAAAAAAAAATTGCATGAATAATCAGTTTTTATAAAAATCGGAACAGCGATATGATAATACTTATTTCATTAGGTTTGTTCCAGCAATTAATATTCAAAACTAGAACAAAGAGTTCTAGAACACTGAAAAGATTCGTAAGATTTTTTGGGAATTTTAAGTTCCCGCTAAAACCAATTTAACAGTAGCAGAGTGTTGTGTCTGGTCGAATGTTATAATCTTAAATTCTATTTTTACTGGAGTCTTGAAATTTTGCAATCTGGGCAGTATTCCTTGCAAAATATGTTTGCGTTATTTTCTGAAGTTAAAATCAATTTCATATTCATTAAATTCTGTATTACTTAGAACAATCCTCGCAATCCTAAATTTGATCAAAATCGGTAAGAAATTGTGTGGAACAAACCTCTTTGTAGTCCTAGTGTTTACATAGAATTTAATCATAGATAAAAGTCAGTAGTTACTATACGTTTATGTTAAATCTCAGTTAAAGTGCAGAACAAATTTTTGTTTCCTGTCAAATGACGTCATATGTCAATTCATTTTTAACGCTAAAGAAAAGTTAACAAATGAACGAAAATGTTGGTCCCACTCAACAAAATAAATAATTATATCTCTGTATTTACAAAAAAAAAACAAAAACATATCCGATGAGCAATGAAACGCACAGATTTCGTATAAATTGATTTATTTATCAAATACCTTCTACCAAAATTGATTATCGCACAGTATACCGAAAATCACATAGTATTTCATATTTACACAATGCAAGCGTCACACTCACATCGAGAAAGTAATATATAAAACATATTAACAAGGAAAAAATAATCATCACATTAAAATGACTAAAATTTATAATGGTGGCACAAACGTTAACCGAGAAAAGAATGACGTCATCCGCGCGCCATTAAAAAAAAATCCTGATAATTTTGAGCAGTTTAAAAAAAGTTACATCTTTTCAGTTTTCACGAGCTTTTATTCTTTTTTAAGTGAGCCTTTTCAAATGGTATATATATGCCAGGAGATGTATGAAAAAGTTGGTATATTAGGAGATAAAAGTATAACCAAAAATAGATTTTTACTGAAGGACATTCCTCGTATAACAAATTAGAGAGATGAAAGCAAAATTCATTCTTCGATAAACATATTCCTTAAGAAAATAATATGGATTGTATATAAAACAAAAAAAATCGATTATGCTATTAAGATCTGCGTTTGAGGACATTATGGGAACTTTTTATACGTTATTTGAGCATACTTTCAGTACTCCAAAATGTATCAACTTATCCCACACACTCTATGCCTTCAAGCAGTTAAAACAGTTAAGTGTTATTTAACCTTTTTTTGCAAGCTTCCTTCCTACTTATATATAAAAATGGTACGGATCTGATAAATCCTGAGAATATTATTTTATTATATTAATATTAATTACACAATATTTACAAAATATTCAACTATTCGCCGCTAGCCGAGTGAAAATTGATTATGGTTGGCAAATGCAAATTTAACAAAATATTCAAAAATGTTAAAATAATAAGCGTCTAACTTTTCACCACTTCAACTCTATATAACTCAATCAATCCAAGGAACTTTGTTCAGGATTAAACTGATTGCATTCACTTGGCCCCTGTGAACTTCGCATCAAAACCAACGCATTACTATACCTTATGATGCAACGCAATATGATGACTATAAAACTGGTTTTTCTCTATTCGCTCTCTCTGTGCATGCGTAGAACTTAAGCTTAAATAAAAAACGTTTTTTGCAGTATCGTTTCTCGAGATTTAAGCTACAATTGAAAAAAAATATGTACATCCAATTTTTATTTTATTTTCATTTGCATGCGACATAAATCCCGTGTAAAATATTTATCTCGACGTACGCGAAGTTCAAAATTTCCCTCTAAATGATTATTCGGATACTCGACTAGCCCTTTTAGTTTGTTCCATTCATACGTACGAGGTTAAAACTTATTTTTTAAAAAAATCATCTCTATGCACAAGTAAAATAAATAATTAAAACGATCTTCGTCGAATCGAAGTTGCGGAGGCGACAAGCGATTTTTTTTTATCTCGCCGGTCACGCCCACTCAACCGCTTTCATCATCAGAGTTCTTTAAGCAACGTCGATTTGGCGTTCTTTAACTTATCCAACCGTTTCAGCAGGTGCGTGTTTGACGTTTCCAGCTCCTCCGCCCTGTTCTGCGCCTCCCTCGCCTGAAACACCAAATGGATTGAACATACAGACTTATATCGGGTGTTTTAGGAAACCATCCGCTCAATTCTGGGGTCAAAAGAATATTAAAAAATAACGTTTGCTTGGTTAAGAACCATAGACCATAAATACCTTTGTTTGGCCATATTTATCACTTATGTTTAACATTAAAAAAGAAAAAAGAATTATGGAGTTTTTTAAAGTTTAGATAACTAATGATGAACTATTTTCAGTCATTCTCATGCTCTGGGAATAATGATTCTTTCGTTAAAAATATTGGAAAATATTTTGAACTTTTATGGTTCAATCCAGTGTATTGCTGGTTCAAATGCCATTTAGATATCTTTAGAAAGTTTCAGAAATAATTTACAAATCCATATTTATTAACCCAAAACTGCATTTTTTAATATTGTTTACCCAAAAAATTAGAAAACGAAACACCCTTTATACACGCTAACCACGAATAACACGTAGACATTTAGTAATAAACATAAACACTCTAGAGCTAGTGACGTCACGCACAAAGTTAAAACAAAATCGGATCAGATTTACGCCTGCCATACGCGCAAGGCAGAGGTAAAAAATATTAACTTTGCCTTCTTCCTTTTCATGCTTTTCGCATTTTACATTCTACAGGGTGCGTTAGTTTTTTTAGCGAGATTTCAGCAACTCAAAGGTAACATATTCGCATGTTTATTTAGCGTTAGACGCGTTTTGTATGCCCGGAGATTTTCTGGTATCAAAAAAAAAAAAAAATGGAACAAAGAATTTGCATAAAATTTTGTTTAAAAATTGCTGCAAAACCCTTGCAATGTTGACAACGGTACATCGCAAGTCTACTTTGAGCAAAAAAAAAAGTTTATAGGTAGCACAAGCTGTTCCAAGATGGCCGAGAAGACGACCAGGAGGAACCTCGATCTAGACGTCCCGGCATGTCAATAACTGATGCAAGCGTGAAGAAATGGTTTTGAAAAATCGTCGAACCACTATTGGAGAAGCGGCTGTGTAGCAATTGAGCACAAAAAGGTCATAACTCGAGACGAATCATGGGTATGTAGTTATGACGTCGAAACCAGTCTAGTCGTTCCAATGGAACAATACACATTCGCCAAGACCGAAAAAGCACCTCAAGTTCGATCAAATGTCAAGGTTTTGCTTGTTTTCTTTGATTTTCGTTCTTGCTATACGGTCGTACGGTCAAGTTATGCGCCGTTTGCGAGACGCGAAGAAAAAGTCCGACCTGCTCACTCATCGTTGCTTGTGTCTAACATTGTGGCCAAAAACTTAACCACAATCATGCCTCAGCCACCATATTACCGGACATGTCCCCTGCGACTTTATCTTGTTTCCAAAACTCAAGAAACCCATGAAAGGAAGAAGGTTTGGAACGATGGAGGAGATCAAGAAAAAATCGCTGGAAGAACTCAAAGCTATACCGGAAAGTGCTTACTAGAAATGCTTCGAGGATTGGAAAAAATGTTTGTATAAGTTTATTATATCTGGGGGAGTATTACTTTGAAAGGGACAACATTATTTTTGGTAAATAAATATTTTTTGATAAAACTGAACACACTTCGTACGAGGTTGCCTTTTATATTTCGGGATTTTTTTAAACTAGTCCTGCCATCTGGCGACTGACGTTTTTATAGAGAAGTTTGACATTTTGAGGTTAGATTTACTCAGTTAGGTTTGGCGAAAGAGTGTTGTTTGTGTTTTTTGTGATAAAGTTAAAAAATTGTGCCCGTGATCGGGAGCATTTTTAAAACTTTAGACGTGGACTAACTCAACAACAGTGCATCGATAAATTCGACTTTTGGAGTCAAAGCACCACCTAGAGACTACTGTTTATCGCTGGTTTTCGGACTTCAGTCGTGGTCGTAGTTTTCTTAAGGATGAATTCGTGATGGTCGTCCACAGTCGGTGGTTGTAAAATAAAACATTGATGCAGTGCGGAAACTGATTTTGCAGGATCGTCATGTCACTTACCATGACATTGAGGTATATTTGGGCATTAGTGGGATACATACAATTTTGCATGAACATTTGCCCGCTAAAAAAATATGATCGCGGTGTTCCAAACACGTCTATGATATCGTGATAGGTGATGAATCATGGATCTATGCATGTGAACTTGAAAGTAAGCGGCAGTCGACTGTGTGGGTCTTTCAGAACTCTCAGCGATCAGTGCAAATAAAGAACTTTTTGAACATTAAAGAATCAATTACGTGGCCAACGATTTTTGATACCAGAAGAAGTGATTGATGCGTTTTGGAGGTGCCCGACTCAATGTGGTGCTTTGATGATTGGTTTTATCGAATGCAAAAGTGTATTGATCATCAGGGTATATATTTTGAGAAACAATAAAGTCATATTTATTGGTAGCTTATGTTGGTTATTACAAATCCCGAAATAAAAAAGGGAATTTCGTTTCTGAAATACTGCCTATCAAAATTTCAAAATTTGATGTATTCTTTAAGTGTCCTCTTGCAATTTTTGAAATAACCAATTTAAATTTGGTACACTAGGCAAGGTTAAATGACGCCATTAACATCTACGGGTTTTTTCGCGTGCCGCTCTTGATTTTTAGTGCAAAATTCATCATTATTTGGTCTTTTGAATATTTTTCGTGAGCTGTCACTCTCGAGCAAGTAGGAAGCAGCACCCATATTACCACATCCAAGCGATACGAAAAACCAAAACGGATTAAAATTTAGTAAGCACGCGCAGACTGGCAAAAGAAATACGTTACGAGGTGGTGAGAAAAGAAGGGGGTGAGGAAACGGAAGTTCTACAAAGCACCGACGGATCGACGATGCAGCAGCCGCTCGTGCTGCTGTCTCAGGGCAACGCAAGATGCTTCCTTGAGGAGTATCTGCCCGTTCGCGGTGTTTATCTGCGGTTTAAATTGTTTTGCAAGTTTTCTGAGCTGCTGAAGTGCAACAAATAACGTGGCTCGAGGACACTTCAAACAATTTTATTTTTTAATTAAAACAAAAACAGCGTGGGATACAGAAACTAAGCACTTACTGCTAACAGAGTTGACAGTCGAGAACACAAGTTACGCGATCTTAGCAACATTCATTCTTGTTCTTATTAAATTAAAAATTCTCAACTCTTGCATTGCTCCCTAGTAGCGACGGCGCAAAAGTGTCTATTAACGTACGAGGGCAGCGCCAAAATTTCCCAGCCTGGATATGAAAGAAACAAAGTAGAGTAACAATTTTTTATTATTTTTCAATATAATCCCCCTTAACTTCAATACACTTATTACATCTCTTTATTAACAATTCAATCCCTTTAAAAAATATATTCTTTTGGTTTGTCTGCAAAATGAGCTAAAACAGCCTCTTTTAACTCAAATTTCGTCGTTAAACCGCCGTCCACGTAAGTCCTTTTTCAAATATCCAAACAAATAATAGTTGCTGGGGCCATATCTGGACTATAGGGAGGATGATCTATCTGTTGGAACTCACACTCTAAAATGGCAGCTTGTGCAACACCAGCAGTATGGACAGGTGCATTATTTACACGTATGCAGTCTCGCAATTTATGTAATAATGTTGCGTAATATTTACCGTTGACAGTGGTATTAGTTTCTTTAAAATCTATCAAAAGAATTCCTTCATAATCCCAAAAGATCGTGCCCATCACCTTTTTTGTTGACTGGCAGAATCTGAATTTTCTTGGAGGTGCCTCACCCTTGCGACGCCACTCTACTGATTCTTTTTTCGATAGAGGGTCATAATAGAGAACCATAGTTTCAACTTCCGTCACAATAGTTTCTATCACAGGCTTCGGTTCCGACCCACAGAGTTCCAAAAAAGACCGCGCACACTCGATGCGGCGTGGTTTTTGAATAGCCTAAAGGATCACACAGGATTCGACGAACACTTGTATCAGAAAGATTAGTAATTTCTGAGATTTCCTTGATCTTTAAACGTCGATCATTCAATACCATCTCTTCCACAATCGCAACAATATCTTCCGTTATGATCTCCATTGGTCGACCAATTCTTGAATCATCTTCTGCCCCAATCGAAAAGGTTTTGCCCATTCTTTCACTACAGAATACGAAGAAGAACTTTGGTCGTACACACCACCCAGCCTTTCTTTAATAATTTTAGGTGTTAACCCTTCTTTTGTCAAAAACTTATTCTATACTCGTTCTATACTCAATTTGCGTTATTTGCAACATTTTTTCGGGCGCGTCTTGTTTAAAATGCTGTCAATAAAAAACTATTTGATGCAAGACTTCAATTTTTTTTTCGCAGTCTACTAAGATATATATTTAAAAGAAGACAAAGTTTTATCGTGATACTGGAGCTGCATCTATGTCAGGCCGGAAAATTTTGGCACTAATCTCGTATTTTTATTGTTTAAACTCCTTTATGTCTATTGATATTTGCGCGCCAGCATTTTATTTTTTGACACAATAACTCAAAATTTCTGACAGTAATTTTTAAAATAATCACTCAGTGTTGAGTTAAACGTGCAACAAATAACTTTACAACACGACATTATACACAAAGAGCAACAAGTGGTTGACCATTAAATGCTCAAAAATCGGCAGGCATCCCTCTTAAACAAAAGGCTTAACCTACAAAAATTTCAAATTGAAAACCGCTGGATTCAGCAAGGTGGTGCATCTCCTCACTTTGGTAGACAAATAACAGAATTTCCTAATCAAACAAACCGGTGGGTTGGAAAAAGTTCAGCAGGTCCCGTGGCCGGTAAGGACACCTGAGCTTAATCCCTTAGATTAATTTTTATGAAGAAGACTGACTACTTTATGCAGAAAGTATTGAAAACTTGTAGCTAGAATATGGATGCTGCAGAAACTTTTCGCGCTGATCCTGAGACTGATAGCAGAGCAACCACTTCAAAACTAAGAAGATTACTGCGGCAACTGGGTGGACATTTTGAACAACTAATTCAATAGAATGAAATATAAATTATAAAATAAAGGGGTTTCTTTTAAATGGTCTTTAAAATTTGAAATGCTTGTAGCTCAGTTAGAATAGCGCTCCAGGTATATGTTCATTTTAACTTGAAGTCAGCCCAGCAACACACTCTCAAGCTATGGCATCATGTCGTGAGACCCGCCCATAAAAGGGTCCATTTTGAACCCTTGGAGATTCTAAGGTTCATAAACGAGAGTCTCGATTGTATTATTCAGTATTATTTTAAAAATGGCCTAAAAATAAGTCCATCTAAGTACCTTACTATTTCTATTGGGTTAGGTTCGATTAATTTTTGATAGCAACCTTAGGTTCAAGCGCAGAATCTTCAAAATAGTTCCGAAAAAGAAATAAAAATATATCCTATAAGCCGAGTATTCTGGGGAGGCTTGATATACAGAATCATTTCGTTGGCATAACATTTTAACTGTGATGTCCTTCCTAAATAATACCTTGGCTAATTTAAACGATACTGTAAGCACCAAAAATATATGAGATATTTGTTTATTTTTTACCAAACTTCTGGATTCTTCCGGCCTCAGTTATTGCTGAATCTAACTTGCTGACGTTGCTGTTGCCCAAAACAGTCACGAAATCGGACATAAAATTTTATTCGATAAAACTAAAATTGTTGCATGTAATCAATTCTTCTACCAACGAAAAATCCGAGTCTTTATGCCCCTCATTTAGCTCCGCCCCCCTCAAACAATATATAAACAGGTACAAAGTAAAATAACAGCCAGTTTCAGTCAAACTCTGAAGAAACCCACAGGATGATTGGCGAAACGTCAGCAAGTTCGACTCAGCAAAAACCGAGGCAGGAGGAATCCAGAAGTATTACAGTGGCCTGTGGAAGTTTCTTTGAAAAATTCAGATATTTGTTTGTTGAAAATCTTGATTTCTTTGTGCTTATAGCAAAAATATAATGGACATTGTACATGCTCGGCAAAGAAAACAATTATACTGAACTTTGTCGATTCAAAAATAAAAGTCGTTTCCATTCTACCTAATTGTGAACTGAAGAAAAATTAACGTTTTAATCGCAGGCCATCGCCACTGCCACATTTACGAATTATTAATATACCCTTCATATAAATAACAATTTATTTAATAAAAATCAGAATTAAGACTGACAGTCAATACACTAGAAAACCCTTTTAAATTTATTTAGTACTGTTTTTCGATATTCTGACTTTTAGACGGCTTTATGACACACGGAACCACTTTTACCCCCTCCATATTATAACATAACCGTTCCAGTGCGTAAGAATGAGGAAACGAATGGGTTTTTCATAATTTCTAAAGGGAGCGAGAGTTAAGCCTTGGTATAAGCCGATTTTAGGCACCGGTTCGGTCAACTAATATATAAACGTAATTGTGCAAAAACCATAGGACAAAGCAAAGCGGCGTGTTAGTTAGTTACCCCGGCTCTAATAGCTTTCCAAACTCTCGGACACGTCCGTCGAAAGGTCGTCGGTCAACGAATCCGAGTCCTGCAAGTCAAATCAAAAAACGATGCCCAAAATAAAATAAAACTAAGAAAAAAAATTGCCGCGAAACTGAAAGCGGGAAGCACGAAACGTTTTTTTTTCCTGCTACTGCGCATGCGAAGCGTCCAGGCGCGCGGAATAATAAGCGACGGACTGCTACTACTACTACTACGACCTACCTCGCGCTGCAATTTCCTCTTTTCCGCTTTCAGCGCTTCCTCCGATTGCTCCGACACCTCCGCCGCTGTCTTGTACCGTATCACCTGGCTCTCTAGACGCGCGACGGTCGCCTGCAACGTTGCCACGTCCTGTTCCGCTTTCTGCGCGCGGAACTTGTAGTCGGCCAATTGCTTACTCGCCTCTCCTGCGCAGAAACAAAACAATAATAATAATAATAATAATAACGAAATAAATAAGAACTAAGAGTACAGATTTTCACGAAATTATATTATATATTCACGTGGCAACTGTTTCGACAACACCGAATATCTGTAATAAATGTCATATTTACAAAATATATACCGAAAAATAACAACAAAACCTTAATTAATGTTGTTGTGAGAATCTAAGTTTAATAATGGAGAGGTACTTAAATCTAATTGATCGTTAAGTAATACATTTGAAAGTCTCATTTTGTTAATCTCCATGGCTTCCAATAAATTAAATTTTCTACTTTTTGTGGCTGTATGTAAAATATCAAAATTGTGGTCAAAAATGTGTTTTTCTGTGTTTAAGTGTGTAGCATAATTAGAATATAGACTATTGTTTTCAAACGCTCTTTTATGTTCGTTAATGCGTTTCTTGTTTCTGTTTGTCCAATATAAATTTTAGGACAAGATCCACATTTCGACCTGTAGACACCTGATTTTTGAGATTTTGGACATTTCGTTTTATTGTTTTTTAAAAAATTTCCTATTGCGTTGCTAGTTCTGAAAGCTATTTTTAAACCACATCTTGACAAATGTTTTGAAACTTTTCCACCCGGTTCTATTTATGTAATTGTCTTAAATTGTTCGTGTTCTGTATTAAGTTTCGGATAAATAGAGATTACCGTTGTCTGGATTTATTTTTTATTTATAATTTTTTCAATAATGGACGGATTGCAGCCGATGTTCAGTGCAATTTATTTAATGATACTAAGTTCTTTGTTGTAATTTTCTGTTAAGAGTGGCGTATTAAGAAGTCTGTGTATAAAAGAGTGAAATGCAGCCATTTTGTGTGTATCATGGTGATTTGAGGTGTTATGTATGACTGTGTCCGTGTGTGCAGGTTTATGATAAATGGAAAAATCTAATTTGTTTTACGTTTTCGTAATAGTTAAGTCTAAAAAATTAATAGAGTTATCCTGTTCAATCTCGATAGTGAATTTTATACGATTATGTAATGAGTTAATGTAAATTAAAAAAGAATTCAATTGTCTGTCCGTTCCAACAAAGCAAACAAAGACATCATCCACATATCTATACCACCATAGAAAACTTCACTTAAAGGAGGTTCTAGTATGATATTTTCCAAATTATCCCTAAAAATCTCGGCTAACAAAGGACTAAGTGGGTTTCCCATAATCAAACCTTCCTTAGAGATGTAAATATATCCATTAAATTCAAAATAATTTTGGTCTAAAGCTACCATTAAGCAATCTAATAAATCTTGTTTCACCGATGAGTCAACCTGTTTCCGAGTGTATCTAATGTATCACATCCATAGGTGGAATACTGGAAAATAAGTTTTGTACATCAAAAGACAATAACGTTGCGTTAGAAGGGATTTTGATATCTTTAATTTTGTCGATTAATTCAAAAGAATTACCCAGAACTTTTAGTTCTTATTTATTTTGTTAAATGGATTTTCATCAAGTAAAAGCCACCTCAGTTCAATAATAATAATAATAACAATAACAATAAAAAAAATATAAATAATAATACTAATAATAATAATAGCAAAAAAGCAGGGTTGCCGATACTTACTCTGTACATCGTCGAGGTCATAGTCGGAGGACGGGCCATTTAGCAAACTGTTGCCGCCGGATTTCCGCCTCCTGTTCCTTTCCTCTTCCAGTTCCAATTTTAAATGACTAATCTGATCTTGCAGTTCGCTTTTTTCTTTAGCGAATCGGGCCAGCCGAACGTCTGCAACCAAAATCGCGGTTAATTTAGACATTATCAAACATTGGAGGCGGATAAAAAAAATTGTCAATAAAATAACAAGTATGATACTGCGTGCTATAGAAGCGAAACACCGCTCGCTGGCGAGTTCGTCGAAATGCAAAACTGTGCCTCCCGGAAGAATAAATTGATATAAATATACGAGGTTAGCGCCAAAATTTCCCGGCCTGACATAGATGAAGTTCCAATATCACGATATTACTAAAAAGAAAAATAGAAGAAAAATAATTACTACAAGCGATTTTTTATTAGTGCTGTATTATCTTTGACAGGTTTTTTGAACCGTAAAAGGGTTTACTGTTAATTATTTTACGTATTTCTGATAAAAATAGCAAATAAAAATGGAGATTTGGAAAAGTCACGAAAAAAATTTTGTTCTTTTAATTTTTGTGCTTTATCGGTAACACCTCTATTTTGTTTCTTAAATTGTTAACCATTATAAAAAACAAAAAAAAAACATTTAGCAGAAAATTAATTAACATAAGTAATTTTTATTATGCAATTTGGACGGGTTTTTCGAAATAAATTGAGAAAAACTACACATTTAACCATATATAGTAAATAAAAAAGTCTTTATTAATTAATTGCTTATATAGGTTTGAGAAAAATAGTGAATAAAAAAGAGTAAAAAAAAGCCGTGAAAGCGTGCGACATCATAGGACGAATGACAATTCTGACTCCTCTACTTTGTACAGCATTTTAATAAAGAAAAAGTATTTAGCAAAAATTTAATTAACACATGCAAATGCAATCATTATTCAAAATAAATAAGGAAAAGAACTTTATGTAGCTAAATGCAAATCGACCGTTAAAAATACGAACGAAAACGTGTGACGTCACAGGACAGTACAAAATGATTATAAGAATATCATTTCTATACTTTGAAAATTTCATTCCCTAACTCACCCAAACTCCCGTCGCCGGCGGTCTCCAGAAACTTGGCGTTATCGGCCGTGACGAGCGCCTTCCGGGGCAACCCCTGCTCGCCGTCCCCGCCCTCCGCGACGCCATCGTCCTCGCACGTCACCAACACCAGGCCCTTCTCGGCTATGAGGCGGTCTCGTTCCGCCAGTTCATGCTTAAAGGCGGCCAGGTCGTCCTTCAGCTGCGTGTACAACCTCTTCAGTTGGTCGTGTTCCCTGCACTTGTCCCTGTGTTCCCGCTTCAACTGCGACTGATCCTCCTCCAATTCCTCTAACCTGCAGATAGTAGACCGAGTTAAAAAATATATGTAGAAAATGCATCGTGCGTATCGGGCTTAAGATTTGTCCCCAAATGTCAGGTTCCAAGAAAAGAACCTCCCAAACGTTTTTTTATTAATGAATATGGCGATTTGGTGAAATTTGATGCTATTCTTTGATTCAAATATTAATCAAGTACAACTGTCAATTTGTTACAAACGAAAATAACATTAAATGGCTTGTGAATCAATAAAGTATAGAGGAGTAGGAATGTTCTACGTCAGGGGTATTCAAATTACGACCACTAGATGTCGTCAAGTGTCATTGTGTGCACAAAGATTAATATAGCTCTGGTCCTTGTGCTTACAACATGAACCTAAGGATGGAAAATATGCAGACTCCCGTTCTAGATCACGTGGGGACATTTGAACGACTTATTTTGGAAATGTTTTAGTGCACCCCACGCAAAGAAATAAAGTTTACTAACAAATAAGGTTCAACGCGTTATTTAGTGTTGGAAAAGGGAAATAATGGAGATGTTAAAAGAAATTGTCAGGAAAGGAGATAAACTGTATATAATAAATAAAATAATGATTTTGGAGGAACAACTAATAATAGTGCGATCAAAATAGGCGACAACAGTTTTGAAACAGTAAACACATTTAAGTACTTAGGTATAGGAGAAAGTACAGGAGTATAGTATATAATGTGAACCAGTTAAAAAATAACATTTTATAAAAGACCTCACAGATTAATATTTATAAAAATATTTATAATAAGACCAAGGTGTTTACAAATTCAGTGCCGATACTTAAGGGCGTGAATCCACGAACGATTTTAAGAAGAAATATAAATATCTAAAAATATAAAAAAATAAACGAAAACCAACATATCAAAAACACTCTTAAAAACCTTAAAAAAAGATTTTTTGCTTTTTATTTTTTCTTTTAAGCAAAAAAGATGCATCGTACCAATCGGAGAAAATTTTTCTCGTAAAAATTTGTTTCTTAAAAAATATGCGATTTAAACCCCGTACGGGCGTCAATGGCAAAACTTTTAAGTTAAAAAACTTTCCTCAATTATTAAAAATGTCGAGAGTGATAAAAAATTGTAGGTCAAAAATTGCGTGGTTTATGACGTGTAATCAACTTCTTAAAAATCATCCAATGATCCTCACCCATATGTAACGGCTCTCAATTAATCTAGTGCTACAAAAATAAAGGCATACTTTTCATTCATTGTCAAAAAATAATAATAAATAAATGAATAAATAAAATAAATAAAAAAATCAATCGTGTTAAAAATTGGTATAGAATTCGAGACTCATAGTTTTCATTCATTGTCAAAAAATAAAAATAAATAAATGAACAAATAAAATTAATAAAAAAAAACAATCGTCTTAAAATTGATATAGAATTCGGGTCGCATACTTTTCATTCTTTGTCAAAAAATTACAATAAATAAATGAATAAATAAAATAACTTATTTTCCCGTACCTGTCTTTTAAAAGTTCCAGCTGGTACGTTTGGGCCGCTTTGTCATTATCCAGCTGGGCGTTCGCTATCATCGCCTTCCGGAACTTCTCCTCCACCTCTTTGAGCTCGTGCTGCAAATTCAATTGAGTTAGTATGACGCCGTTCTGCATCTTCCTCCACGGACGATGACGACGATACGGATGACGCCGTGGACGATATAGGAGTGAGAAAAAAAAACCGCAACGACACCCAATATGCGACGCATGGTGCCTTGGACCGCTTTCAACTATTTCTTGAGTAACTTTTGCATAGTTTAGAACGAAAATAATGGCCGCACACATAGTTTCGAAGGGAGAACGAAAAAAACAATGCGTATCGATTGGCGTATGACTTTTTTACCTCCTCAAAAACATACAATAGCCAATTCTCAGAAACACGCAAATAAATGACAATTTGCTGAAATTAAATAAATAATAGTAGTCCATCAGCAACAACAATAATCATATTACTAGAAAAGAATTATATTCTTTTTATAAAAGCGTATAATTTTCAAAAACACCAATAAAGTTTCTTTTATAACAGAAAGTTTGTAACATAAAGTAACAAACAAAAAAATATATTATTAAGCCAAAAATAAAATGTTCAAAGGTGACGACTAACATTTTCCCTAATTCAAAATTGGCAAATCCTTGTAGATGTTTGATCACCCAATGAATTGCCGTTCGAAGTTCTGCTATTATGTCATATCGTATTTTATTTTCATTTATTTGAAAAACCTGGACATGGTGGAGGCCATGTAACTATACATAAATAGTTATATAAAATTGTTATTTATTTGCGTATTTATGAGACAAAGTGCTATTTTTGAAAAGGGAAATTTTATAGTCTGTGTTTCATTAAAACAAAGTTGGGTTATAAGGCAAAAATAGTAAATATTTAACCAAACTATTTACACCAACACGAAAAAAAATGTTAATTTACCTTTTCGATAAGTTGAAGGATAACGAAGAGACGAGGGGGGTTCCAAAATACAAGTTTTTCAAAAATATGGTTAACGGCATCGAAAATGTAGTAGTAACTTCTTATCTATATCAAATAACGGAGATAACCCGAAAAAGTATTTAAATTGGGACAACCGGTACATTGCAACCTCTGCCAACTGCATTTAAACTTACTTAATTCTTACTTAAGCGGTAATAAATACAAACAAGCTTTAGATATATTAATTTTCCTTTTTAAGTTCTAATTTGAGGTATGCATACGTGTTTATATATTTATTTACTTGATATCTAGTACTATATTAAACAAATAATCAGCTTACATAATTCTTTTCACACGCAAATATTTTGTTTTCTTAAATAATATTAACGTTGTCCATTTTATTTTTAATAATACTAAAAAAACGCAATTCTGACTAAGTATCAATTACCGAAACTAACTAAAACATTCTATTCTATGGTATTGAACAAAACTTTCAGAATTATATCATCAATTTAATTATTAACGTGGTCACTAAAAATAATATTGCTTAACAATACCTGGCACTTCTATTCATAATTAGCGGGAAGTAAAAAAAACTGTACTTTTAAAACGTAATGCACTAATAAAAAAAATGGTAAAAAGTTGACGCATTTCCTTCTAATTATTTTCTACTTATGTATATATTTTTGAAATGACTCTGTCAAATATTAAAGAAGCATCTTACAAACAATATAACACAATAAAAAACTAAACGCCAAGCCTTCAATCAACGATTTTCATACCAATATTCCTCGGAATGTTTTGCTTTATTACGGCAAGTATAAAATAATTTCTCAACATAGTTTTTTCATTTCACCTACTACTATGTACATAGTAAATTGTGCCACTTATACAAAAGCAATTCTAATCTGTACATGCTCTCAAGAAACTCAGATATTCAGTACAATTTGAGACCGAATCTTAACATAAAAATACCTACGCACCGAATGTCAAACAAAATTCAAATGTACTCTTAAAAACAAATTGCCACGTCCCGCCTATTACAATATTAAGGGTTTTCTTTCTTCTGATACCTTTTAATACCTATTCGTTGTTTGTTATTGTTTATATATTTGTTATTTATCTAACATTATTAATAATAATTATTTTTAATTGATTAATTATACGAAGATAACTTTATATTTTATATCCCTTCAAACTTGGGCCGGCGTATGTATTCGTTGTTTGTTATTGTTTATATATTTCTTATTTATCTAATATTATCCATTATTATTATTATTAATTAAGATAACTTTTTATATTTTTATATTCGCATTATACTGACGTTATCCAACACTTGTAACTCAAGTGTTATGGAAATAAAGCTATATTTTATAGGTATTTATTAAAATAAAAACAAGTTTTGTGAGCCGTAACGATAGGCCTTTCTCTCTCTCTCTCTCATTTGGATATGATGGCATTGTTACTGACCCTCAACTCTTTCAAACTCCGCCAGCGTATGTATTCGTTGTTTGTTATCGTTTATATATTTGTTATTTATCTAACATTATTAATTATTTTTATTATTATTATTAATGAATTACACTAAGATAATTTTATATTTTTATATACTGACAAAATCCGACACTTGCAACTCAAGTTTATTGGAAATGAAGCTATCATTATCTTTATTTATTAAAATATTAATAATAATGATAATGTTCTGTGGGCCGTATCGATGGGCCTTTCTCTCTCTCATTTGGATATAACGGGATCATTACTGACCCTCAACTCTCTCAAACTTCCGCCAGCGTCCTCGAGCGAATCCTCGGAACTTCTACGACTCGAAACGTTGTGGTAGCGGGCACTGCGGGGCGTCCTGACGAGGGCGGCTGCGGGCGGCTCCGACGCCGCCGCCAACATGTCGAACTGCCTGTCCGCGTTCTCTTCCTGCTCGCGCTGTTGCCGTTCCAGCTCGCGCATGCGAATCTCGCGGGCTTCTGCGCGCGCCTGGCGTTTCGCCCATAGTCGCGCCTCCGCCTGAAACAAAAACGGGGACCGTGAGAGAAAATCGTGAAATATACAGGGTAAGTACGTGTGTTACGAATTATATTACAGATTAATTTAAAAATATCAAAAACGATTGATCTCCCTCCTCCTTCCGTACGTCTAGGTTAGTGGTTCCCCTGTGGGTTCGCATGGACCGCATGAGGAGAAAAAGTCTGGGAAGCACTGAGCTATTTTTGAAGGGATGCTCTCCTTTTTAAAGGAGACCGACTTTAAAAAGTCGAGTTACGCTTTAAAAGTGTCATTCTAGGAATGGAGTTAAAAAGAATGGCCAGAGGCGTAGTTACAGAAAGAACAAGGATTGCTAAAAGACGAAATAAAAAAATCAATTCCACCAATTGGCATTGTGTATCTAAACTTTATTTTCAAGAAACTTCAGTTTTAACCATGTTAAACCAGTGTTCGAAGGAGATAAAATAGGGAAGTTGGAAGTTATTTGTTCTATATTATTTGCAATATGAATATGCGATTGTTCTGCTTTTTCTATATGTTTAACAGAATTTGCCCAACTTTGTGGACGGATGTTAAAAACTTCGTTTTCTATAAGTTTGACGACATTGGAGTTAGCACGGGGAAACACATTGTTACGACGAATGGCAGATTTCAGTTGGTGCCAAACATGTTCAATGGGATGGCCTTAGATTTTTTGCATAATTATCACAGACATATTCCTTTTGTAGGTTCAAGCTTTGTAGAACCCCAATTAATTGCTTTTTGGTATAATCTGCGTGAAAATAAATGTCGTTATTATACATGTAGTTTTGGATTGTTGCTTTTGTGTCACATGAGGAAGGGGTTTTAGTCAATTGTCTACTGTGATAACTTGCATTGTCTATTACGATGACGCTATTAGGAGGAATGTTTGGAACTAGTTTATTTTTAAACCAACTTTCAAATAAATCAGCGGTGGTGTCTTCATGGTAATCCAGAGAAGAATCTTTAATATTTTTCGCAGACAGAGAAAGTCTATTTGAAATCCAACCATCTTTAGAGCTAGCATGCGAAATAGTTATTCTTTTACCTCTTTTTGATAGTGTTTGGTGTTGATGGAGTTTGTTTTACACTTATCAGTTGAGTCAACCCAACTCTTTTCCGGGGTATCATAAGTGTCGAACCAGGTTTCATCCAAGTAAATAATTGGCCTTTGTTGTTCTCTGTAAATCCTAATTTTTTCTAGATATTCCAGTCGCCATTTCCGAATTCTAAAAGATTCCATTAAAACTTGCCTTTAGTCAATTTTTTTAAATTTTGTTCTCTCGTATAACTGGTAAATTTTACGCCGTATTTTATCTTTATCACTTTTATCTACACTCGAGAAAATGTCAGCATCGCTTCTTTTTTTCCTCGATGAAATGGGATTATTCACAATTTTCCATACAGTTGATGTTGGAATTTTCGTCAATGTGGCCGTTTCTTCTAAAGATGCTTGCTTGCTGGCCCTACGTTCAATGAGAGTCAAATAATCATTGTTTATAACTTCCTTAGTCTCAATAGAATAGTGTTTTCTACATTTGGGAGGTGGCATCTCCTGCGATACACTAGACTCGCATAATTCCACACGATTCAACACACGCTGTATTACACACGAAATAAGAATAAAAATAATAAACTTAAACTAAGTAGTATACCAAACCAAAGAATATTAAACACAGGTAGGTATAAAATTATTTTCTATTACGGACCACAATTTTATCTGAATTTAAATTCCAAAACTTTAGGTAATAATCTTGTTGGATTGTTTGTTAATGACCACCCATTTAAAAGCAATTGGTCACAGACCACACCTACATAATTTTTCTTGTGTTTTTTTATAGCGTATTTCCGCTTATAGAGTACTTATTTTCTGGTCCCTAGAGGGTACTTTATAATCGGAGTTCACTGTAATACGTATATTTATATGTATTTAAAATGACACACAGGTATCTTTTGCGTTGAACCGACATTCGAACTGATATACGATTCTCACCAACGTTAGAAGCTGAATCTAAATCCATAGTTCAACTAATAATTTAAAAATTGGTGAGCGAACCCTTGCGACGACGAGCGAATGCGTTCGCATTGGTTCGCTGTATCTGTGTACGCCTCCTCGCGTGTAAAAATACCCCTAAACACTTACTTCGTCGGACGAATTTTGCATAAAACTATGGATGATGTCACTCTCGTCGAAGCGACGGTCGAGATCGAGCGGGCCGTGTTCGCCGATGATCCCGACGAAATTCGAAGCCTCGACGACGTCATCATCGAATTTGTCCACGTTGTTATTGTTCGGCTCTTCGTTGTCGGTCGCTGTCTCTTCGCCGGACGACGACATTGTTTCCGCGCGCGCGCGCGAGACAAAGACAACCGTCTAAGGTCACTCGATAAAATAAACTAAATCGTGTCGCATTATCTCCGGCTGTCAGCGATGCTTTTCAAATCGACGAAACGATAGATAACGCGCGACACCTTTTATTTATATCGAAAATTGTTTGTTTTAATGTTCGGGGCGGTGCCTGGATGTAGAAAAAAAACGTTTCCTCGAATGTAAAGCGGGTTTTACACGGCCAATTTTGCACAGCCACTTGCTGATCGATAAACTTGTTCCAATTTCCAAATGTTAGCAATAAAGTATAGACTAATTCAACAAAGTTTTAAGTAATAAAGTGGGAAATTCCATCCAGAAATCATAAAATATAACTGACTTCTGCAGGACTTACATGGGAAGGTTCAACACGACCTTCAGCTACCATTGAGGAATCGACACCAGAGAACTAGTGAAAAGAAGTTCGTGATTGTATTAAAGAAGAGAAGAAAGAGCGGAATCTACTTGACCGATCGATAATATAACTAATATATAATAATATAACTAATAATTAGTTTCTGCATAATGTTTAGCAAAAAAAAGGGGCACCTAATCTAATACTATATCTAAAATGTCTATTTTTTGTTATATTAAAATAAAATTCTTGTCTTCTTTTTGACCTCTGGCACACCAATTTCAATGTTGGTGAACGGATAACAATAGGCCACCAGAACTCCATAAAAAGAATGAATTTTGAAATGAAATCGATACCAAACAACGAAAGTGGCTTGCGTATTGGTTGAGTCACTCCGTAGTCCCTTTGCAAACCTAATGAGGACACTTATTACTCTACACCTTCCTGAAATAGACTATAGCCACGTTTAGCATTTTAGTATCTCTCCAAGCTAAGTTGGTTGGTCAGCACTTTGGAACTCGGTCTGTTGTTGGTCAGTGTTAAGTTTGTCAATTATTTCACAAAAACTTGGCGAATTTCACAGAGAGCTGGTTCACCAGATTTCACGCGTGATTTACCTGATTATTAGTAACAGTAAAACTAGATTTTTCAATATAAGCAAATATGGTCGGAACGATTTGTGATGGCATAGTCGGCGACAAAATAATAATACAATAAAATAGATTGTTCATCTTGCTTCTATTTATATTTGAATTTGCAAAGAGTAGATATACAAGCAATCCATATTTAGTTTGTATTTACAATTTACGAACATCATCATCGGAGCCAAAATTGGAACTGCCTCTACCAGAAAATGATCTTCGTCTACATTCATAACCAGTGGTTGTACCGTTATATCAAACGTATTCTCTTTTTCCCAATATTCTTTATTATATTTTCTGTATGTTTAATACAACTGATATTTTCTTTGGTACCTATCTGGAGAGCTGCGTCCCAGACAGATAGTACTGATATTTTGCACTGAGTCCACATTAAATATACAATTGTAATCTTAAAATTTGACCCATTTCAGCAATTATTTCGTCTGTAGCATACGGCAAGTTTCTTTTGTAATTTTTGTCAATTTTTAACAACCCACATTTCAGACCAATTGATAATTTCTTGAATGTACGGCACCGGAGCATGATAACCAGAGGTAGAAGAGCGAAGGGTAAATGGGTGGATTTTGCCATACGAGTGGAAGCAGATAAAATACAGAGGCACATTTCTCTCTTGGTTTTATGACCGACTATAACATCCCAAATCGTAGGGACTATATTTTATTCTTATATGATATGATGAGACGGGCGATTGAGTTTAGACTTCACAGTAGACCTATTTATTTAGGGTTTTACACTTCGAATGAAATTTTGAGGCAACTTTTACCCAGAGCCATGCGGGCAGAGTAATGGGGATTGTTTTCTATGTTATTGTTTAGATTAATTCCTGGATTTTTCTACATATTTGAGATTTTGCAGATAAATTACTTGCAAATACCTGCATTCTTCACCTATCGTCTTAGTTGTAACAAATATTTAACGGTCAAATTTGCGTCCAATTTTTAAGTCAATTCAGTAATTGCAAAGTTATGTTATTAGTATAAACCCTTATACACTCATATGCAATAAAACAGAATTACCGTCATAAAACAATAAAGAAATGTTGTTATCCTCTGCAAAGTATTGCAATATGTAAATTAGTCTACAAACTTTTAGTACGGGTAAGGAAATACTGGACTCTATGTTCGAAACAAGCAGATTAGGTGTCGATAAATTACACCATGTGGCTAGTTAGCCCAAAAGTTAGAATAAGTTTATCTTCTGCACCTATTTAGAAAATCTGTGTTCACTTTTTCTACCTGCGCCTTCACGCCATTTAACTTTCTTTCGACATCCTCCAAAACTGTTTACGATACTTTTTAACAAATTCAATTTTAACAATTTAATTTTTACTTTTTCGCCAAGGCCGGCTCAAAAACCACCGAGACTGGATGCACCTCAAGACTCGTGCACCCTCGAGTCTGCCAGAACTGTAGCCAACATTCTTTAAAAGAAAAAGAAGAAGAAGAAAGTCAAAGTCTAACCAGCCACCTTCAGGACAAACACAAGAATCCCCATTACCGTCCCTCTTTTTCAAATGTAAAATTCCACTTTAGATCCGAGTACACTGCCTTAATTAAAACAACTGCTACCTAATCGAAGCACCGACTTTACAGACTCGTTTACCGGCACTCGGCGTCAGCACTTCTTTCGCCGGCCACATTAAAGTCGACAAACACCATCCAACAACCCGTTGTTGCTATGCCATCGTTGATCGACGCATTTATCACAAATCACCCTGTGCAGCGATCGATTTCCGTTAGCGAAACTACTTGTTCACCCCGCAAATACGTAACAAGCTGACACGACACACAAACCCGACGGAGGATATTAGAAATGTGCATCGATGGGCACATTCGCATAAAAGAAAACCGAACCAATTAAAACCTCATCGAACTTTAAATGTAAACTCCCAAAAGACATCGGGTAAATCGTAAAAACACGTGGTGGCTTTCGAACGCTCCAAGCGCGTAATTTTCGTCGTTAGATTCGACGAGAGGTCTGCCCCCACCACCCGCGTACCGAACGACACGTTCGAATGTATCGCGATTACTAAAAGCGGAAGAATTTCGGACGGAATCGGCTCAGCGTTTAAAAATAAACACGCTCGGCTCGTCGTAAATGCATATAAAGATAAAAACCTCGTAAATTAAATTAAATAAAAATAAAAATCCCAGGCACGGAGATATACGGGGTAATACAAAAAAGTAGGTCAATAATTTATTTGTCTAAAATAATGGTACTTTCCATTTGAACGTTTTGTTTGTTGCTATTTAAGTATTATTAAGGCAATACTTTTATTTTTATATTTCGAGGAATACATTTCCTACATTTTTCGTGATTTATGGTGATTAAAACAAACTCTTTTACAAAATTTTATTCGAAAATACATGCATTCGTTACTTCAAACAAAAACAGTTTTGGTTACTTAAGTTTTTCAAGTAGCGACTGCGTAAAATATTTTTTTACAGAAAATATAATACAGGACCGTATACAAGGGTCATTGAAAGCGAGCCAAGACATCGACATGGGTCCCAATCTGGTTCAAATTATTTAGACAATCATGCAGGGAAAACAAAGATAAAAATGCAACTTTGACACCCTGTATATCGAAAACAAAGTATTTAAGACCACACGTTTAGAGTAACCTGTAATATTGGACACTTGATAAATAACATCCACTACGAATATTTACCCTGATTTTGAGATATAGTCTGTTCATAGATATAAGAAAGTGACTAACTGATACGAATTAAGGAAAGACCCGGGCAAGCTGTAAGAATGAAATATGGCCGAACAGGTCCGTACTATGCTTAAAATTTAATTACCTGGGGTTACTAAGGATTACTAAGCAATATTTATTTATTTATGTATGTATTTATCTTTAAATCTAAAATATAATTACAAATTATTTTTTTACCTACTTAAATTACTTAAAATTATTCACATAATATATTAGTACCACTATCGCTATCATCGCCTGTTCTAATTATTATTTGTTTCATATTATTTGCAATATGGATATACGATTTTTCTGCTTTTTCTATATGTTTAACAGAATTTGCCCAAATTGGTGGAGGGATGTTAAAAACTTCGGTTTGTATAAGTTTGAGGACATTGGAGTTAACACGGGGAAAAACATTGTTACGACGAATGGCAGATTTCAGTTGGTGCCAAACATGTTCAATGGGATTAAATATACAGTGGTAAGGTGGAAGCCTTAAAACTGTATGCCCTAGATTTTTTGCATAATTATCACAGACGTATTCCTTTTGTAGGTTCAAGCTTTGTAGAACCTCGATTAATTGCTTTTTGGTATAATCTTCGTGAAAATAAATGTCGTTATTATACATGTAGTTTTAGGTTGTTGCTTTTGTGTCACATGAGGACTTGATAATAAAATAAACATTGTTTATAACTTCCTTAGTCTCAATAGAAGTGTTTTCTACATTTGGGTGGGGGCATCTCCTGAGATGCACTAGACTCGCACATATTTTGCATAATTCGCACACGATTCAACACACGCTGTATAATGTACTAATAAACTTAAACTAAGTAGTACACCAAACCAAAGAATATTAAACGCACGTAGGTATAAAATTATTTTCTATTACGGACCACAATTTTAAATGAATTTAAATTCCGAAACTTTAGGTAATAATCTTGTTGCATTGTATGTTAATGACAACCCTTGGATAATCCCATTCAAAAGCAATTGGTCACTGTCTTATATCTATGAACAGACCTTAACTTTTAACTAAACACATATTCTGTTTGGTTTTTAGCAAGAGGTCCGTAAAAATATCGACAAAAAGAGACAGAATAATGTACTTTTCAATTTTTTCTGACATTTGAAAATATTTTTTTGCAATTAGCTTGGTGGTTAACTTCATTGAACCTTTGCAAATTTGTAAAATATTGATTGGAAACATCTTTGATGAGACATTTTCACTTATCTGAGTCCGTTTATAACTTTTTTACATTATCAGACTAATTGAAGGAAGCAACCCAAATTTATCTATTTTACAACTTTTATTAACCAATTAAAACACACTACATGAGACATTTTCACTTATGTGTTAGAACTTTTTCACATGATCAGACTAATTGAAGGAAGCAACACAAATTTATCTATTTTACAACTTTTATTAACCAATTAAAAAAAATCTTAGATTAAATGAAAACTTAAGCGGCAATTAATTGATCAACTTTTGTTTTTTATGACGTTTCCGGAATGTTTCTTCAATGCATTGCATTTTTTTTTGTTGCAATTTTAAAAAGCAAACGAAAATGAAACAATACGTTTTTTATTGTTTATAAACGAATTGAAGATTGCTTAAATAATTTTCAACAATAATAAAGTGCCAAAAGCAATTCAAAATTAAATAAATAAAAAAATTGAAATTTTGAGAAACCAAAAAAAAAATAGAACCCACAATCAAACTAGGCTTAAAAGTGGTTGAAAAAATAGTAAGTTATTTAAAAAAAAAACGTTGTTATTCCGAAACAATGTGAATATTTTTGTTTATTTTTTCGGAGAGGCAATAAGAAAAATAAGACTTTGGTTTGGGGCATTATTAAAAACGTTATGGCTAGTCAAGTCACACGGCAGAGCTATTTCGGAAGACGTCTTAAAAATAGAAGGCTATACGGCGGTGGCAAATACTCAACCGAACCACATCCGGTTTCTGTGAGTATTTCCGTTCTCGGAAAGTGTTGAAATTGTCGCGTTTACCACAATAAAACCTTAATTAACAAGATTTTCAAACTGATCGAAAATTTCTGTTTTTTTTAATTAAAAAATGCGAACAAAAAATCAAAAGCATAGTGGGTTTTATCAGCACAAAAAAAAACAACAACGGTTTTTTCAGATTTCAAATATGTTTTCGTACAAAATAAAATTTAATCCACTAAACACTTCGAGAAAGGGCACGAATGGAAACGGCCAAATAAATGGACACATTTTAAAATCTGGAACCCGAATAAGCGCGATGACGCGGGTCTGTGCAAAAGATGACATCATCTGCCGGGGGAACCAAGAGAAACGACCTTGAGCTACTTGTAAACCACAGACTAAATTTCGCAGAATATAAGGAAGCCGAATAAAAAAGAAAACAAGTGGCTGTAAATCGCACGGGATTAAAAAAATTAGAAATCCTGTACGTTCAGATGTAGATGAAGCTCTTTTACGATGGTATTGCACAAAATTACAGATCTGAGGATATTTTCAATGGTCACGAGACTGGGCTATTTTCCAAGATGACTCCAGATCGTACCCTTAAATTTAGAGGAGAAAAGTGTTTGGGTGGGAAGCAGTCGAAAAACTGCAAACTTCTTGTTATTGGTAAATATGAACGATCGAGATGCATGAAAAATGTGAAAAATCTACCTGTCATTTAGAAGTCAAACCAGTGAGCGTGGATGACTTCAGCAATTTTTTATAATTATTTAAAGGATTGGGATGAAAAACTAAAACGTCAGAATAGAAAAATATTGCTTCTGGTTGACAATTGTGCAGCTCATCCCAAAAATCTAATCCTTTCAAACATCAGATTAATATAATAAAATAAAAAATAATAAAATATCTTAAAACATGTTACCGCAGATATTTTTTCTATCCTAGACTACATAAAATTACTTGCACAATATTACTTCAACCGCTATTTCAAACTGCTTTCGACGTGCAGGTCTGATAAAATCGGAAGATGAGTTTGATTCAGACGATGACTGACCTCTGATTCAGTGGTTCGAGAAGTACAAAAATAATGACGACGATGACTGGGACGTTCCCCTAAGTAATTGTTTGCGCAATAGCGGCGAAGATCTAACCAGCATTGAAATATATCTTCCTGAATTGGATAGCTTCCCAACTGTTGATGATATTTTAATAACAACGGAGTTATTTACGGATAATGATATTATTACTGAATTTTTACAGTTCCTCAAAGCTCTATTAACGAAAGCGGCGATGATGTTCAACAGGACCAAGTACCAAGTTATTCTTATTATTATCTTTATTATTCATTTATTAGTCAAAAATTTCCTAGATATTGCCTATCAACCATTTTTTTCCTGGTGAATTTTGTAAGATCACCATGCGGCATCATTCGCCACATCAAAACGCCTATACTATGGCGCCTGGAATATCTAGAAATCTAGGGCATACAGTTTTAAGGCTTCCACCTTACCACTGTATATTTAATCCCATTGAACATGTTTGGCAGCAACTGAAATCTGCCATTCGTCGTAACTTATACAAACCGAAGTTTTTAACATCCCTCCACCAATTTGGGCAAATTCTGTTAAACATATAGAAAAAGCAGAACAATCGTATATCCATATTGCAAATAATATAAAACAAATAATAATTAGAACAGGCGATGATAGCGATAGTGATACTAATATATTATGTGAATAATTTTAAGTAATTTAAGTAGGTAAAAAAATAATTTGTAATTATATTTTAGATTTAAACATAAATACATACATACATACATAAATAAATATTGTTTAGTATCTTTCCTAACAAAACCCCAAATAATTAAATTCTAAGCAAAGTACGGACCTGTTCGGCCATATTTCATTCTTACAGCTTGGCCGGGTCTTTCCTTAATTCGTATCAGTTAGTTACTTTCTTATATCTATGAACAGACTAACTAAAATATCAGTACAAAGCTGGTCCAACTGTGCAAAACGAGCAATAAAAGAAGAAAATATTTATCGAGACAGATTAGTGAAGGATTGGATTTAGGTGACAACAGTAGCGACAGTATTATTATATTCAATATTTTGTAAATTAATAATGATACTATGTAGAAATGTAATGGAATAGCACGTAATAGATTGTTACTTTGTACTAATTTGTTTATGTCCATGTTTCAAGAATTTCAAAAATACTAATATCCCGCGTTTCAGCTAGTGTAGGTGGATAAACTCCTAGGACGGTCCTAGAATGATTGCGCGTAAGGGTCTGCTCGGCAGGGTGTTCTATAAGACGCTGCGGTTTTGGAGTAATAAACATTAGTAAAGGCACTATATTTCTGGTCGAAGTATAACAATACAGAA